TGTGAAGTCTCTCTCTTTTCAAATACAGTGGAGGTACCGATACCTGAAAGGCTGAATGCAGTCCACAGGGAGAGAAATCCCTTGTTGCTTAGCTATAGGAAGAGAACTTTTTTTTAAGTCACTAGAGGGATTTATTCCTCAGTTACTGAAGTGGTGGAGGCCTCAAGTGGATTCTGGCATTGCTCGTCCTGAATCTCGTTATCTGGGTCTGTCAGGACAGGCTTTTGTTAATGTGATAACTTATAAACAACAGCCTGAAACAAGCCTGCTATGGCTTATTCCTTACAACGCAAGAGTAAAAGCTTCTATCATTCTTTCTTTTTTTAGGCCAATGTGATGCTTGAATATGATATTGATGAAGCTCAGGCTCTGTTAGAGAAGAATTTGTCAACAGCCACAAGAAACCTCGATCTTCTAGAGGAAGACCTGGATTTTCTTAGAGATCAGTTCACCACTACAGAAGTCAGTATCCTTTTTTTTTTTTTTTTTTTTATTTTCATTTGCAGGGGAAGCAGTGTATGTGAAAGCTAACACACAGGTAATTACCAGTTTCCTGACATGTCTTTATTTTAGGCTGGCTGCCCTTAAAATTCTGCCCCGCTCCAGGAGGGTAACCTTTTGTAGCAGTGAAAGGAGATGCTGTTTCCAGTGCAGAGCTGAGGGTTGGTGTGTTGATGTAGCGAAGGTTGTGTTTGTGCTTGGGTCTGGGTGACACCCCCTGCCCTGGTTGCAAACCTGGCCTGGGAGCGGGTTGCAGCTGTGGGTTGGTGCCGGGGTGGCCGTTCCAAAGCTCTCTGCAGCGTACGAATATTGTTCTTTCGGGCTGTTGCTGATGGTGCCCGATGCAGCTGCCGGTACGGTGTTCTCCAAGCAACACAACCCTGCTGCAGCAAGCTTGGTGCTAGCTTGGGCACTGCTTAACTATATTTTATTTCTCTATACTATCATGAACCACTTTCAGAGTGTGTTTGGGGGTTTTTTTAGTACTTTCTACTTAAAAACTATTATTTTAATGATGAGGTTAGTCATCAACTGAAGCGTTAGATTTAGTAAACAAAGGCACAACTACTTGTTTTTTCCAATTGATACTTAACCTGTCTTAGTGCTGCAGGAGGTTATGGGTGCCTGAAATAGGCAAATACAGCTGCTATGGGCAGGTTTGACTGAAATCAGGAGAGTAGCTGTAGGTAAAACTGAAAGTCTGTTTCTCTGTAATATCTTTTTGGAGGTTTTTAAGTGATATAAATGCTGCAGTTATTAACAGTTACTAGTATTCCTGGATGTTAAGGCTTTGCATCAAGTCAGCTCTTTCATTAAATGGTTTCTATACTGACTGTTACAATAAGTGTGATTAACTGTATAACCTGCTTTTTTCCTTTTTTTGTTGTTGTTTTGTTGTTGTTGTTTTTGTTTTGTTTTGTTTTGTTTTTCCTGAATGCATGAGCTATTTCCTTAATTCCACATCCTTAGATATGGCTAGAGTTTATAATTGGGATGTAAAGAGAAGAAACAAGCAAGACCCTTCCAAAAACAAAGCATAGTTTTGCCAATTTTAAATGTGGTTTCAATTTCCAAATATTTTTTATTTAAACACCCCCAAAGTTCATTCTTAAGGGACTGAGTTACTTTAAGCATTTCAGTAAATGGTAAAATATATAAAAACTAATGGTGAGCACCATTTTATTTATTTGTAAACTCGGAATTTGGTTTCATGCATGCTTCATGAAATTAATTATTTGAAAAGGCACCACACAGTCCAGCAAAGGACATAGTGTTTTGATCAGACCAGTCTGTCATAAATAAATTTCTACCTAAAAGCTTGTCTGAAAAGTTGAGGGGCACGTATGAAATGGAGTCTGACATTTTAGCAGGTTCAGGTAACGCAGGGGTTCACTTTTTCATCTCTGTGTACAGCTGATGAAGTTCAAGTCAGCGTGGGCTGGGAAGACATGCAGCTGTAATGTTCTAGGAAACAGAAAAAATACAGTGAAGTCTTTGATTTTGTTTCAGTCAGTTAATTGGCAGCATCAACCTGGATATCCACTTTGGATGAACTTGTTTTTAATAGTCATTGGTTAGTTAACTGCCTGTTACTGAACTCTCAGCACTTTACCTACAATAGTTTGTGACTTGTCTTCAGAGACGAGCGGTAAATGGAGGAAACAGCACAAGCTGTGTCGAGACTGCAGGTGATCTCACCCCATTCTTTTTCATACACGTGCACACGTTGCTTATTTTTGCAAATGCATTGAACGAGGACACCAAAATGCTGATAGCCTGTCAACAAGAAACCCCCTATTTACGATCCCTTAGACAAGATGTCCAGTTCCAGTGTCTTAACACTCTCGGCCTCCCAGGTGGTGAAACCTGTATTAGGTGGGGATGGTTTACTGAAGCACGACTCCTGGTGTTAACAGTTGGAATGTTTTTTTGGTTATGAAGCCTTGCAAGATTGTTGCCTTTTACCTCTGCAGTTCCTTTCTAAAATGAAATGCTCGGTGGTGATGTCAGTGGCTAATATTCACATTCTGTGACTGAGAATACAGGTTTCGCTGCGAAATAAATGCAAATGTTAACTGTTCAATCTTCATGTAAGAAACAATATACCTGTAAATTTTTTGTACTTTTATTTCATGATATTAAAATAGTAAAACTAAACAGTTGTGGCAAACACCTGTTTTTGTGCATCTTTCTTTGTGGGAGAAAGTCAGGAATCTGGTGTGTGGTCTGCAGTACCGCTTCCCTCCCTTAGCTGGGGGCAGCGGGGTGAAAAAATTCGGTTAAAGCAGCAGCCGTGCAAAGTGTAGCTGCCAAATCCTGGCTTGAATGAGAGTGTGAATCTGTGAACACAGGCACCTGCTGTGACAGCCCTGTGGCTGCGAAAGCGAGAGGGAGAGAGGTAAAGCGGGTACGGCCTCGCACCCTGGCACGAGAAGGGCGAGACCGTCTGCTGGTGTCTTTGGCTGGAGCAGAGGAAGGTCGAGGTCGGATGTTGCTTGCCCGAGCGGTGTCTGCCCCCGGCCACAGGAGGCTGACCGTGGGGCTGCTGGGGCTGCAGGCTGCTTCTCGCTGTTTTTTTAAGAGCATCAGCAATGACAGGCAAGGCAGCTGCAAACACGGCCCCCCCGGTTTCTCTTGCAATTTTCTCTTCCATTTGGATTAATGAGATCCCCACAGGCTGAATCGTGCTCCCCCCCTCCCTCGGGCTGGGCCTGAGGCAGAGCTTGCCTGCCTTTGTTGGGCACAATGAAACGACGAGTTAAGCATTTCTGCACGAGCAAAAATAAGAACTGTGTGCAACTGGCAGTGACCTCATGCTGTTCCGGGGGGGCCGGGGGGGAGGGCAGCCTTAGAGCTGGCACTGCTCAGTTGGTTCAGAAGGCTCCGGGGGGGGGGGGGGGCGGGATGGGAGATGGCTGTGGCCATCGGAACTTTTTTGGGGTGGGGTCTTGATTGTTTGATAGGAAATAAATAAAACCAAAACAACTTATAGACACGAACTCACGCTTCCCTAGGAGCGATCCTTGTCCAGCATGGCTCTGGCCTCAGCAGGTCCGACTGCAGGAGCTGTTTGAGCCTCCTGCGGGGCGGGGGGGGCTGCGTTGGGCTGCGACTGCAGGGAGCCGGGGTTGTGTCCGGGGGGGACTTTGGTTTGGTTTAAGACTGGCCACTGTTTCTACAGCTGCACTGGTTTTTCTCCGCTTGGCTGGTTCTGAGGCCATTAGCAGGGAGCCTCCAGAGAAGGTGGAGCGGCTGCTGCTGCGAAGAGTGGCTGTTTATTGCCGGGCCAGTCCATGTCAGACTTCCAGTTACAGCTGCGCTACGGAAGTGCTACAGGTAGTAGCTTACTGATAAAGACTGGGGAAGGGGATGAAAAAAAAAAAAAAAAAAAAAAAAAAGCCACCGAAGTTTCTTTACAAGTTTTGAATTTCACATTATCACATAGTAACCATTTTGCTAAATACAAGCATATTTTCAGTCACATACAGACAGCTAAATACAGCATTATTTTCACATGTCATTACAGAGCATAACAGAAAGCGAGGAAAGTGTATAGTAAGCTTTTATTCTGGAGGTTCTGAGCAATTTCAATCTAACATGCAGATTGTTTTTAACATGTGGCAGAGACCACAGAAAGTTAGCCTTTTTTTTTTCTTTTTGTTCTAGAGTAAAAGAGCTCCTGACCTTTATCCTGCGAAAGGTATCACCTGATTAAGTCCCTCTTGCACTAGAAGTCAAAGCATTAAAACCAGTTGTTAGAAAAGAATTCTTAGCATATCCTATAAGTTCTTCATCTTAGAAAAAAACATTCCAAATTTTGTACAGATGAATCTACATTTCCTATATTTTAGTAAGCTGTCTAGAAAATGCAAGGAATTAGAAAAAGATGTAGATAATGATGTCGCTATCATTTAATATAACCATTTATTACCTCTAAGTAGTTAAGACTGCATACCTTTTCTTCTGTACTGTTCCTCCTTAGAATTATGACACTTGTATTTTTAAACTGAAGACTGACTCTGAAGGCCTGAATGCACTTACTGGTTCAGGCTTTATGGAAATTCTCTCCGGGAGCAGTAAAAGGGAATGCCCAAACCCCATTAAATAAAATATTGGTTTTGTCATGAAAAGTGAGCCTTCCCTGCTGGCCAGGATCCTGCACATGGAATTACAGAATTTGACTACTGCCAGAACGCCGCTCGATCCACCTTCTAACTGCCGGTAAGGCAGCGCTCCCGCTCCGCCACCCTCGGCCAGGCGCCCCACGACACGCGCTGGGAAGGACCCTGAAAGCCCCAAGCGGTTGCTTGGCCGCCTTTCCCTGCGGAGAACGAAGGAACTGGCCCTTCCACACTCGGTCGTCCCTGCCTGTGTGAAAAGGGGACCAACAGACCCGGGCCGAGCAAACCTGGCGCTCTCCACCGGCGGCAGCCCACGAGCGCCCACGGCAGCCAAGCTCCTGTGGCGCTCGCTGCATCAATCTTCTCCAGCTTTGCTTACCTAGAAAGAGATTTTGTAAAGGGATTTTTTTTTTTTTTTAAATTTTTTTTTTTTTTTAAATTTCTCTTAGATCTTCAGGACACTCAACTCAACCACAAGTGAACCTGCCTGGAATTCCCTGGGCTTTAGCACAAACTTTTTGATCCATTTACAGCCCGTTCAAGAGCGATCGGGGGTTAGCAGTGACAAGCTGACTGAAAGGTGCTGGGCCACTGCCACCCGTCCCTTCCTCCAATTTGCTCCCAGTGGCCTCCCAGCAGGCACAATGCTGCTGCTCCCTGCAGAGCCCACGAACTGAAATTGTTCCCAAAACACTGAAAATAAAAATGTTACTTTTCAGGGCTTTGGTTGTTGGGTTGGGTTTGTTGGTCGGTTTATTTTTTTTCAGCTTTAACACACAGGTTAAACCACAGGGTTTTTTTTTTTTTCCTTCATACAGACCTGCCCACTTGCTGCAAACCATGAGAACAGGTTCAAAGGGAAAAACCAGTCTGAACTCAACAGCAAAGACCCACACTTTTATAGATGGGGCAGCTTAAAAAGCTGTAACAAGTATTTCATTCTTCTTTTCTTAGAGGCCTAAAATCAAACACCAGATGCTTCCTGTGGTTTTTACCTAATCCCTCCCTCCTGCCCATTAGCAGTTTGGTGTATAAAGCTTGCAAACGCGAGTAAAAAAGACGTCACTATAGTTTTATTTGTTTGCTTTTAATAGGCTGAACTTCCCTAGTTTGCTACAGGAGCACAGTTACCCTGCTGCACTTCAAAAGCTTAAGTTAAAACTTAGCGGAAGCAAAGCTTCTAAGTGGTGAATGGCATTCCCAGACAACATCCACCTACATAGAGCTTTTGGAACATGGCTACCATCCCGTGATGACCCACCTGAGATGGATCCTCTTTTGTCAAATTAAAACATGGAGGAAAACAAATTTTATTCTTGAGCTCATCTTGTGGCTTTCCTCTCCACCCACTTCTGTTGTGTGCTCCTCCTTCCCAGTGCTAGTTCTCCACAGATGCCAAGAAAGAAAATGACACTTTAACAGCAGAGAGTACTGATGGAAGCTGTTGGTTTCCATGCTATTTAACTTCTTTAAAAGTAAATCTCACCTTTTAGGATGTCTGATGCACCTGAGTTAAGCTTTTCAAGTTTTTTATTATTTTGTTGTTATTTTTTTTATTTTTATTTTCCCCTCTTTTCGACCTGGCTGGTGAGACACCCAGAAGGTCAGCACAGTGCCGTTAGTACGACAGAAATGTTGGTGTGTCCCACCTGGCTGCAACACCCCAGCCTTAAGTTATAACATATGAGGACATGGTTCTCTCTTTATGCTCTTGATCACTTAATTCTATTGGAAATCCCTGAACTCAGGGTACTTTCAAGGCAGTAAATGTGTAAAAATACATTGAATAATCACTGGAACAGGAGTTGTGACTTGGAATCCAGTTCAGCACAGCAAGAAAAGCACTATTTGGGGGGGGAGGGGGGAATAATTTAATTACCAATCAAATAACTACTGTTTTCCTCTTTAAATCCCACAGAGTATTCTTTGCTATTGAACTACGTTCAAGAACGTAAGAAAGAAAATTCAGGAGTGTGCATACCATGTCAATAAACTTCTCCTGTGGAGTTGGCCTTATGAGGAAACAGTATCTGTGCTGCCTTTACACCTTCCTGACAATAAACAGCTGACACAAACGAAGATGTCCTCTTTCCTTCTCTTTGGCTGCCCATTTGCCATACTACTATAGTATCCATACTGTGGCTTCACTACTCAGCATGGAGCTATGGATTTACTTAAAAGAGGACACGTAGTGTACCCTGGTGTGTGCCAGCCCATCCAGCTCTCTGTATACTCTCTCCTGTCTCATGCAGCCCCTCATTTCTGCTGCCTGTCTCCTCACAACATCTACATGCACCCTCACTCACTCTCCTGTAGGTTTGTAGCCCCCAGTTCTGAAAGGTTATTTGGAACAGAACATTTCTTTCCGGGGTCTGTTCTGGTGTCCAAAACAACGCGGGAGGCTGTTCACAACGGGAGTGTTGCTCTCCCTTCTGTCACACTGAGTTCACTTAGTAAAGTACGTTTGGTTAGTAGAGTTCATCACCACTTGCCTCACTAGAAGAGCTCAGCACAAGCATCGCCTATCTGATTTCACCACTTCTTCTGAAGAGTGCACTACGTTTGGGACAAACCCACTCTTTACCCCTTCCCATCCCTCCTGGATTGAAATGTCCCCCCTTTTAACAAGCTCGTATATATCTCGAGTCAGATCAGTGAAGGCCTTCTCCACGTTAATGGCATCCCGAGCTGAGGTCTCAATGTACTTCATACCATATGCAGCAGCCAGTTTCTCAGCCTCGTGCCTGGTGACTTGCCGCTGTGTGTCAAGGTCACACTTGTGACCTACCAAAACAAAGACGATCTGGTACGGCTGGACATGCACCTTGGTCTCCTCTAGCCACTCGTGGACGTTCTGGAAGGACCTGCGGTTTGTAATGTCAAAGAGGAGGAGTCCTCCAACCGAGTTCCTGTAGTAGGCTCTGGTGATGGACCTGGAAAGGAATGAGCCACAAAAGCGTAAGTTACAGCTGCTTGGGAAGAAGGGCAGAGTGAGTTTCGGGTGAGGTTTTGCTTGTTTGTTTGTGTCTTCTGATACTTTTTTTCTTAAGCTAAATGTAGCCCTTCTGAACTATGTCTTTGTTTAAGAAAGCAGCATTTCCACCACTATATGCCCTTTGCTGTTAGTCCAAAGAGTCCCAGGTCCCTGCCACGTAAGCTCTCAATGCCTTGTCTAACCCATTGGCTTAGATGCACTGTAACAAATCAAAGGATCTTTTTGAAACCAAACACTCACTCTCTGACAGATACGTAAAAGAAGGAGGCTACAGATTAGGAAGGCAGACCACAGGGTTGTAGCTCCCCTCCATACACCCAGGACCTTGGCATGGGGACATCCACCAAGCCCTACACTATCTCCTACTACACCACTAGGCAAAATGACGTTACAGCTGATGCAATAACAGGAGCAAACAGTCTGACCTCCCAAATAACAGCAAAATTCTACAACAGCTTCCTAGGGGAATCCGCATTACTGTTGGTCTTGTGCCTGCTAAACACTGATAGCATTAAATAGTACCAAAAAGACCACCAAGCTGTGGGCTGAGAAATGGAGCGCATCTTCCACGACTCTTCTGAGCAAGGGCAGACTTCAGGGTGGCCAGAGGCAGCACAGGAAATCAGCTAACACAGGGCAATGGGGCGAAACTGAGACCACGAGGCTACGGCTCAATCATACTACACGTGGAAATGCTAAGAAGCTGTAAAACTGGGGTGTTCTTGCAAAGTCATGGATTCGTTCTAAATCCAGAAGCAATGATCGATTTCAGTCCCTGGAGGAATTCACACTCAAGCCTGAACTTTCCTTGCTGCAAAAATGTAAGCACTGATGTATTTTTACCTTACGACAAGTTCTTTTTTGGACCTGCAGGACTGTTGTCAGGGGTTATTTGGTCCTGCAGTGTATCCAGCAAAACTGCCCCCAAGAAAGGATGAACTGGACTTTTCAAGGATTGTTTTATCAACAGACACGCAGCGATGCATGAAAATCCACAGCCAAAACTGAAAAGCCAGAAGAGACGGCAAAAAGATAGTTGGCTGCGTTTGGATAATTTCTCCTCTCCCAGTTGTCTGACTGTGGGGCAACAGTAGCTCTGCACATTTGGCACCGAGGGAACTGGATCTGTCTTTTGCTATCTAGCCAGCTGCAAACAGATATTGGCACTTTGAATTCACCCCCACACAGGCATTTCTGCTCCTCCCCTGTGTTCTGTGCCATCAGCCCCGGCTTCTCCTGCCAACATCAACAATGCCTCAGGTACTTCTGAAAGACATGACAGGATCCAAGCTGAACGCTGCTTTGAGGAAAAACTAGGTGAAGGTCTCAGTGCCTTTTCTTAAAGCCTTTTTTTCACAGACTGTTTTCCTTACCAACGGGCAGGAAGCAAACTATATGGCCTTCACTCTGCACATCAATCCCCAATTCCCTTCCAGGACTCCCACCTCCCCTTCTCGCGCCAAGCTCCTACATGCTCATGCAGAGGATCACAAGGATTTGCACCTATTTTGGCCAAGTTTTATCATAAATGTATTGCCTCTGTCTGGGAACTCTCCCCTGCTCTGTACCCTTGGCAGGGACTCTTGTACCCAGGGTCCGTGCCTGTTTGTTTGAGCTTTTTCCTCTCGGCTGAGGAAGAGCTGCTGGCTGGAAGGAAACAGCTCTGCTGTAGGTGCTGGTACTCAGTTCCAGGGAGTGAGGGCTCCACATGCTTTTGCTTTTGTTAGCATTACACAACATCACATTTCAGACAAGGAAATCAACAGTATCTGAGCAACCAGAGACAGGCAAAACTTGCCGGATCCGGGAAGAATTGGACCCTGCTCTTCTGCAGCTCCAAAGCAGCCTCAGCACTGCCCCAGGCAGCACGTTTTGGGGCGTGAGCTGGCAAAACAGAAGGGCACATGCTTAACTGTAATTTAAGTCTTGACTGCACAGAAATTGCTTCTCATTTATGGAGAGTGGAAGAGCTCACAACAGGGGTCAGGAAGAGCAGAAAGGTGGCACAGCTGCATCCCAAAGAATGCCAGCAAGGTGTCTTCAAAATAACTACAGTGGTTTCTTCCTTGTAGGGTAGCTGTTAAACTATGCAAAGCAGGAAATGCTCAAATCAGAGAAGTCTGTCAAAAAGCAGAGCTCATTCTTACAAATTTCCTTCTTAAGAAATTCCCTGTGCTATGACAAAAAAGTTCAAGGGCTCTGGAGAGCACCTGCACCATTGTGCTTCTTTCCTATGCCCACAAAGTCTGAGAGGCTTCAGCTTATTCCAGTAATAACTCCGTCTCACCTTTTGCCAAGCAAAATTGCTAGTAGACGGAGCCCAAGAGCCGCTGCCTTTATGGGGCACAATTTGTCACAGGGCTAATGGTGATATGAAAGGGATAAATGCAAAACAGACTTTTTGCCTGTTTTTTTCATACTTCAGAGTGCATCATAAAAGCACCTGCGTTTGCTCACTTCCCTCTAGCTTTTCACATTGGGAATTTAACTCCGCACTTTGGCAAGGGCATTTCAAAGCTGCACGATGTGTTTTTTTTCTTTTCTATGTCACTCACTGTTCCTGCCCCCCCTTGCACTCTTCCTGCCTTTGGATGCCACTGCCCATCGCAGCAGTGCAGCCTGCCCTTGTGCTGAAGGTCGCCTGCTCATCATGCTCACAACCCGAGCGCCGGGCCGGGTCAACCACCAGCACTAAGGGTAAGCAGCCTCCAGGGCCCCAAACTTCCTAATGCGTAAAAGAAAGGAAATTGAAGCCATCTGATGGCTTTTGCTCTTCACAGCAAAGGCAGATGCCGGGGATGGCGCCCAGGCGTGTTTTCTACAGACCTCAGCCCGAGATTCAAAGCTGGAAGCTGATGCAACTGCAAGATAAAGCACCTCCTCTCTCAGCAGAATAAAGCACCAACTCCTCGTGCCGAAAGGCTGCAAGGTAGCATAAGAAAAACCTGTCAGTGGATAAGGACCAACTACTGCACATCCTGGGCCAGATGCCAGCGCCACAGATGCGAAGGAAGGTGGTGAGGGGTGGGGGTAGGGGAGGTTTCATCTATTGAATGAAACCGAACCATTCCTCAGCCGAGTCATTACAGCACAGAAGTAGGAGCTACGTGAAGCTGCGCAGAGATGAGGGGGCAAGGGAAGTGCTCCTGGAGGCAGCAGGATGAAAGAGCGGACGAGGGTTAAAGATGGATGAAAAATATAAGCAAACAGGAGGCAGAGACCTGAGGGCACACTCACAGCCCTTCCAAATGAGCGCTGAGTGGCACGCGTCCTGTGACACAACCAGTCCCCTGTTCAGCTGGGGTGAGCCTGCTCCAACCACGACTGCTGTTTTTACCATACAGTGCTGTAAGAAACTCTTGTCACGGTTCCACACGCTGCCTTTATTTTTCCTCATCGTCTTTGTTACTATTGCTTAATGTCTCCAACGGCTTGTGCCCGTGCAAGCACCCGGCACGGCACTCTCCAGAAAGCACCTGCACAGCCACCGCCAAGGGTTTGTCCCGGCTTTTCCCTATCCTACGGACAGCCGAGCTCTGCAGAGCATCAAACCGCCTATTCCATTGCGTTTAGCGAGCCTAAACGTGCGCTCAGCTGTGAAACATCCTGGTTACTGCCTCTTTGCACCAACGGGGAGCAGGCGCGTTCCCTGCCGAGCTGCATCCTCTGATGCCGCGCAGGGCTGGTAAAAACACCCCCAAACCCCAGCGCTGCCTTGGGGCTCCGTCCCCCTCCCCGGCGGCTCCTCTACACCCCCGACCCTACACATCCTACACGTGGCCATTCGGGGCCGGACACAAATCCCAGGTATACAAGGCGGTACGATGATTCCCCGGCGCGTTTCGGGGCCAGCTAGGGGAAAAAAAAAAAAAAAAAAAAAAAAAAAAAAAAAAAAAAAGGGAGGGGGGGGAGGGTTGGGCAAAAGGTACAATTTGACTCTTCTCTGTCTCATTCGCCAAACGCCGCACCGGCGGTGCGAGCCCCCCCGCACAAGCCGGGGCCCGGCACACGAGGCCGCCGGCCCCGCAGCTCCCGGCCCCGCCGCAGCGCTCACCGGAACCGCTCCTGCCCGGCCGTGTCCCAGATCTGCAGCTTGATCCTCTTGCCCGGCTCGATCTCCACCAGCCTGGAGAAGAAATCCACGCCCACCGTGGGGTCGGAGATCTGGGCGAAGCGCCCTTCGGTGAAGCGGCGGATGAGGCAGGACTTGCCCACGGTGGAGTCGCCGATGACGATCAGGCGGAACTGGTACAGCCAGATGGCCTCCATGCTGCCGCCGCCCGCCTCAGCGCCCGCCCGCCGCCGCGCCGCCCATGCCCGGCCCGCGGGCCCGCGGGCGGCCGCCGCCGCAAGGCCGGGAGCTCGGCGCCCCGGGGACCGGCGGCGGCGGCGGGCCGGCCCCGCTGCGTGCGCCGCGGCCGCGCGGCTCAGGCGGGCCCCATGGCGGCCGGCGCAGGCCGGTGCCCGGCACCCCGCTGCCCCGTCACCGCCGGCGCATCCCGCCGAGAAACCCCGCCGCTTGCCCTCCCTTTTTCGCTCCTGGCCGCCGCCGAGGCGCTGCGCCGACCGCGGGCGCCGGCTGCCGCGGCCCCGGCTAAAGCACCCCCCGTCCCTCCGCAGCGCCGCGGCGGCCGTGCCCTGCGGTTGCAGCCCCCCCCCCCCCCGCCGGTGCCGGTGCAGCCGGTGCCGGGCTGCGGGATGGAGGCGCGGCCGAGCGCGGGGCGCGCCGTGATGCAATGGCGGCCGCGCTCTACCGCACTGCCGGGAGGAGCCGCCACCCCCGAAACGCCGCCGCTGCGGGAGCCGGGCGGGGGCGGGGCGGGGCGGGACCGTGCGGGGGTGGCCGGAGGGAGCCCGGGGCTGCGGGGAACGCGGGGCAGAGCGGAGCCGGTGGCTGCGGGGGGAGCCGGGGACTGAGGCAGACGTGAGGCTGAGGGGAGCCCCGGGGCGGAGTGGAACAGGAGGTCGAGGGGAGCCCGGGTCTGAGGGGAACAGGAGGCTGAGGGGATCCTCGGTGGCTTCGGGGAGCCCAGGGCCTCAGGGGACACGAGGCTGAGGGGAGCCGTGAGCTGAGGGGAGAGAACCGTGAGCTGAGGGGGACATGCGGCTGAGGGGATCCCTGGTGGCTTCAGGGAACCCCAGGGCTGAGGGGGAACACGGGGCTGAGGGGAGCTGTGCTGAGCGCAGGCCCAAAGGGGAGCTGTGGGGCCAGGCAGACCCCAAAACTACGGGGGTGCAGGTCAAGGCAAACCTTTCTCAGCTCTTCCTCAGGGCAAGGGGGGGGTCAAGCCGGGCGCACAGCATCTGTCCGGGTTTCAAACCCAAGTCTCAATTCTGGAGAGGTTTGGGCTCCTCACCGCTGCGGCGGGGGCTTTGTTCCCATTGGCATCTAACGGGGGGAGCCCAAGGGCTCCTGGTGCTTTTGGGGAGCTGCTGTGCCACTGCCCAGGGCACCGGGTCACCTGCACCGTGGGGGCCTTGTCTGGAAGGGGACAGTGGTAATAGTAAGGGATCTTACGAACAGCCGCATGAAACCCAGCGTATCCACATGCACACACACACATATTTATGTTTATGTGTGTGTGTATATATATATAGTATGTGTGTATATATTTATATGATGTGTGTACAATCTCAAAAATGAATAGTTACAGACATTACCCAGCAACTTAAATACCACAAATCCTAACAAATCCATTTTCACCCGCTCCGCTGGAGCAGGTTCTTGCCTCCGCAGGGCAGAGCACAGCGTTCGGGAACCTGAGCAGCAGCGAACGTTGCACAGCCGCATATGCCGATACCGCGGACTGTATGTCCCAGTTTTGAGCGGGCTGTCCCAAACACGGCTTGTCCCCCACGGCTCACGGCTGAGCTCGAGCGCCTGCTTGCGCAGCACTTGCCTGAGCAGAGTTTTGATCTCTGGCGGGGAAAATGAGCACGTATGTTACTAAAAACAGTGACTAAACTGTGTGTATTAACTCAAGCATGGGGAAAAAAAAAAAAAAAAAGGACTATTGACACTTTTTTTAAATTTATGAAAGCGTTGGTGGTTTTTTTTTTTTAAATAAAGATGGTTTCATTAAGAGCTCCTCCTGCATGACTGCTATTGAAATAAACACATCCACAGTGGCTATTATATTAATTAGATCCTCAAGAAAAAGACTTTTATATAGCGATGAGATAGTTAGCCAGCTTGCAAATTGGACTAGGACAGTCTTGAGGAGTAAATGGCAAGGAAATTTTTCAATACCCTTTGAAATATATCTATTAAAAAATAACAACCTTGAAAGATCCTATTTTAACGTACCTCAGGACAGGGAAGAAAATGATGAAGCACATTGCACAGCAACAGAAACGGTGCAACAGAAAAATATTAAACCTATAAATCCAAGTTAGCAGCACATTAACCAGTGACTCATTGCCCGCGATGCTTCGTGGGGATCTGTTGCACTTTACCATATAATCACTAGGCATTCAATGCCCATTAGTTCAAGCCCACAACAAATTGTGGTTTCTCTTTAACTTTCCCTCTCCTCCCCATGCACTCGCAGCAGCGTGAGCTGCAGCGGGGAGCAGCCGAGGCGCCCCGACTTGCAGGGCTGTGAGGAGCCAAGGAGAGCACCAAGGGGTGGGCTGGTGCCCAGCAGATGCTGTCATAGCTAGAGGAATTCCTGGAGCACCAAGGACCCATTTTTCCCCAGAAAATAAACCCGCAGGATCCCGTGATGCAGATATTATTTTCATCTTCTCTGAACACATGCATATAGATGAACACACGCTGCATGACTAGGCAGCCACGATATTAATTAGCAGTAACCGAGAAGGTAGGAGAAAATGAGCTCCTGGGAGAGCCTTTGTTCTGGTGCCGTTTTAGAAAATGGAAAATCTGGTGTCTGAAAGAGTAAGACAGAGACTAACCTAGATTTGCTGCAAAAGCAGGTTTGTTGGCTGGGGAGGGGACAGCGGGTGCTGGTGAGAAGCCGCGGGAGCGCGTGCACTGGTGGCAGCGCTGGCGGCAGCCTCCACGGGCTGTCGGCACGCCCGGACTACGGGCGACCCTTCAGCCCTCCTTCCCGTGGCTCCTGGGGCGCAGGGGCCAACCTTCCCCGTCAGCTGGCAGTGCCCGGGGGACCCCACAAGCCGGGTCCAACCTGCCCGATGAAGCCGAGGGGAGCTCCGGTGCAGGCAGCTCTGCCGCGCAGCCTGCACTGCGCACGGCCAAACGCGGGCCAGAGCCCTTCCCCAGGGCCGCCTATGCGTGCAGCTCCCGTGCAAGGTGGAAAACATCCATGCATCAGCCACCTGAGTGGGTGTTTCTTCTTTCGTAAATTTATTTTAAGGCAGGAAAGCTGGGACAAAAGAGGGCGAGGGCTGGAGAGCGACTCCCTCGCTACCCTGCGCTGCCTGTGGTCTCTATCCCAGAGCGATGATATTAATTTCCTTTTAGCATTAGATGATGAAGGCCAGATACTTAGCAGGGGCTTTTGTGAGCCCAGTTCCAACCCACTTCAGGCTGGTGGGTGGTGAGTACCATGTGTGCTCCAAATGGCAGGAACCGCTGCCATGTAACCCCGCATTAAGAGCCCGGCGCCCGCCTCAGCAGTCCCTGTGGCTGAGGCGGGATGGTTTCAAGGCAGGCAGCTCCTCTCAGGCAGGAGGTCTCTGCCGTGAAGCCCAGGCTCGCTGTGGCTGGGCCACAAAGAGGGAAGGTCCCTAGCCATGGTCAGGGACGGCGAGGAGCCAGCCACCCCCTGGACCCCAGCACTGCGATTCACAGAGGTTCCCCCACCTCTAAATATTTTGCCAGTCAGTTGTAGTTCAGTTTTTTTCCAAAACCAGCCAGTGTCCTTTACACCCCGTAGCTGGCAGCTGGAAGCTAAAGCAACCTCCAAGCCCATGGCAGCGCTACGAGGAGGAGAGTGCATCAGCACTGCACGCACCATGCAATTTTAATGCCCTTTCAGTTTCCAAGGATACAAAAAACAATCAATAGCCGACACAATCCCTCGCTGCGGGGCTGGCTGCACAGGAGCTGCCCGAGACGGCCCGTGCCTGTGGCCCAGCCTGGGAAGGTGCCACGATCGCAACACACTGGTGAACCAGAGCACCCGAACCCACCGGCTGACGTCCCCAGCCCCACTCGCAGTGGAGCTGCTCATCACCCCAGAGATGAACTGCACCCAAGCCGAGCCCTGCGAGCGTAGGCTACCAAACAGCCCCGAGACCGGTTACTGCAAACAGCTACAGGCTGCACACCGGGGTGCTGGGAGTGCTGAGACCGGGGCTGGCTAACCACACGTAGCAAACAATTTATTAGCTAGTTCCAAAAAACATCCCTGTTAAATTAGGCCTGTCCAGGAGATGTGAGGCAGAGGCAGATTACGCTGTTGACAGGGATGTGATTGCACCCATGACCTGCTAGCTGATGCGTGCCACTGTAAAACCCGGGACAGAGGGAAGGTATTAAGCGAATTAATGTTTATTATTTATATGATGCCCACGGTTAGTCAGGGTGGTGCAGACAAGCGTAAAGCCACACGGTGCTCGGAACTGACAGCCCAGCTGACAGCAGGCACTGGGAGTGCAATTTAGGACTTTGTGACGAGGTGACAGCCTTAGAGCCTCCAACAGCAGTAGCAGGAGGGAAGCGCAGGCAGGGCCGAATGCCAGGAGCCACATGGTGAAGCTTCTGTCCCACCTTGGCTTTTGGCTGGGCTAAAGGGCCTTTTGTAGTGGTGGGCTTCTGTGGCAGACTGGCAGCCTCTGTCCCCAGGAAACCTGTCTAACCTCCCTCCCTAAATGCCAACTTGTCAGCAAAATGCTTCTAGTGAGCAGTGGGGTACTACACACCAAGGCACCTCCAAGCACGCTGGTTGGGGTTCCAGGGGTGGCATCCTGCAGAGGTACCACTGGTCCCCCAGTGTCACACCGGGATCAAATCAAAAGCAGTAGAGCAGACACAGGCTTGATAAATATAGTCATGACTGAGTGATGCTGGCTGTCTCATTAATGGTCCCCCGTTAATATAGGAACACATTACCTAAATGTCTTTCCTCCACTAGGCTACCAGGCTCCTCCTGTAGCTATCAGAGAGAGGCAGGAACATTTTGAGAGTTATTTATCCCACCCATCTTGATGGGATGAGCCATCCTCCACCATCACTGCTCTCTCCCTTAGCCATAGAGGAACAAAAGGCCCAGCACAAAGCAGCTGCCCGACCTCAGACAGTTTGAACTGCCCCATCCCCTGAGCAGGAGGCTCTGCCTCCTCCCAAGGAGCTTAATGACGCCACAGAGATGGGGCTGCAAAGCCAGCTAGGATCTGTGCTGATAGGAGAATGTGGGAGAGACACAAATGCAGAGAAACTCCAGAAATAACCAGAGAAGCCTCCTGAGTCAATAACAGTGCTCCAGGGCAGTGTTAGCATTTGCTTTGCAACCTGAACGGATGGGGGGAGGTTAAATTCCCGTACATGGGTGGGCGTGCCCAGAGGATAACCTTGTCCCTGCACCCCTGCAAGTGGCAGGGCCACCCTCTGGTGCCACACAGCACCCACAAGACACAGCCTCCACCCCAGTGGCTCGCACATGCGAGCAAGTCAGCTGGGTTTTTGAAGAGACATAAAACCTTTGCAAAACGTTTCCCTGGGACAATAAATTAAATGTCAGCTCATTACCATGGGATGGCTTACTCCAGATGCAGCTCCCGGTGTCTTATTTCAGATTATGATCACATTAAAATGGTCATGGGTTGGCCGGTCAAAAAAGGAGGGGCTCCCATCAAGAGATCATTATATCTGCCTGAGTCTGCTTGAATCCAAGAACAGATCCTCCACTGGGAATATTATGTCCTTGTAGCTATTCAAGTCTTCCCAGGAAGGGAACAGGATCTGCTTAGAGCAAACAGAAGCCATTACAACCAGGATAAATTAGTAATGGTGAGTGGGAGAGAGAGGAGAGGAAAAGAGGTTATTGTGATTTTTCTTCCTACAGAGTGGGTGTCTGAGCTACCTACTTTGTCAGAAAACGGCTCCCTAGCTTCCCCTCCAAGCCCAGAGCTCAGACTGCTTGCTTACAGATCAAGAGCTACTTTGGATTGTTAATAACTAGCAGGAGGGCATTACGGGTTGTTAGATGCATGAAATCTGATTTCTGCTCCTACTGGTAGCGTCTCAAGTTTAGCAGCAGCACAGGCAGGTCTGTAGAGTGAGAAAAGGCAAAATATACTTGCATTTGCTCTGTTCAACACCACTAAACACATGCCTTTTTATCAGAAGCTGCAACGCCTGTGGAGGACTAATTGGGGGGGTGGTCTTTAAGGTGTTGCAGGAGCTAGGACTGTGGGTCTGCGGTGTTCTGTATTTTTCATTTTGTGAAATATAGGATGTCAAGTGATTTGCTAAACACTGACTGCAGTCCTGGAAAAAGAAAGGAAAACTGACCAGCAGAAATGCCTTCATATTCAGGACTCCTTCCTTTCCTCCTAAAACGATTTATTAAAGCAGGGCTGGTTTAGCTAGTTTGGGTCTACAACAGAGGTTGGATTGCCACGGCCCAGAGACCGGTCCAGCCATAATATGATTTTACAGCATTTTAAAAGGCAAGTATCTGCCTGCTTACGCGAGCACCTATTTCAGGTCACTTGCAGGAAAATGACTGTACCACCACCAGCCCCTCTCCAACAGGAATGCTAACTAGAGTCTGCTGGCACAAACCTGGTGGGACCAAGCTCAGACCCTGCTCCCATTTATGTTGTTCCACTCCTAAGGATGCTGCTGCCTGCTGACATCTTCATCCAACTTCATTCAGATTTTACTACCTGACAGGAGGCATTTCAGCTGAGTGAACGGGAAATTAACACAAAATCAAAAGGAACTTGATCTAGAGCTGCTGAACTCTTCTATGGCCCCTGCAGGACACCTTCCCAGCTCTCCACTAAGTCCATCCCTCTTTCAGAAGAGATCTCCTACAAGCCTTTAACAGTAATTTCTCCATGGGCCTCCTGGAGGCCAATGCTCAGTTTTTGTGCTGCTGTGAGCTGACCCAGCACGCTCCAACCAACCAACATGTTCAGAAGGGTGGGAGAAGCTGGCCAACACCTCAAAAATGGGAAGGGCCATCCTGGCATTTCCGGCTCTTGCTCAAACCTCATTGCTACGAATCTGGTATCTCCTGCTCACAGCAGGTCAGGAAATGGTACTGTGATACCAAAACACACTCAGAGTCCTCCTGTGGCCTCATGAACTTCACCCTGACCCTTGCTGGCAAAGCTGCTTCTCATGGCAGAGCCACCCGTACAAGGAGCCTCCCAAAAAGTGAAGCCCCTGGGCAAAAGTGGCTTCTCCTGGCTGACCCCATGGGAAGGGACTTCTGTTTTCAAGAGCTTTCCGCAGGTCAGTAGGATCTTGTGCAGCAGCGATGCTGCCGAGAGCAGCACGGCTCCAGTAGCACATACCTTACAGCGTCTTTGCAAACATGCTTTTGCATGGTGCTTTGCAGTGAGCTTCCCAATGTCTGCTGACCACCTCTGCAACGGCGCTCAGAGGGACATCTCCTCCCGGGTATCCATTTTAACAGTGCCAGCAGATGACCGGGACACCTGAGGGGTGGAGAATAAGCAGGTGGAAAAGATTAAAGCCATGAAAGATATTAAAGTACAAAACAGCCAGCTAAAACAACCAACCAAACCTGGTGCGGAAGATGTTCACTCTTAGTTATCAGGAACCGAAGTGTGTTTATTTATTCAGTTTTTGATATATCGGTCTATTTGATATATTTTTTTACTTAATTTAACAAGCCTGCAAAAATACAGCATTTATTATTTCAGTGGATCACTTTATTACATAGGGGTTTTTTAGCCAGTGTAATTTTCTCCCCGAACCTCCATAGTACTTCAGGTTTTTTTTCCTGTCTTGGTGAAGGATAAAGCTCAGCAAATATTTAGTAATTGATAATTAATTCAATCACTTTGTTTCCATCTCATCTGAGACACCCATTCAGAGGATGTTGTTCAATATTCAACAATTCTTTCTTTCTCTTTGGTTAGCTTCTAAACTATTTTCAATAGCTTCCAATACCTGTAATACGAACAGTTTCGAATGACATAGGCCACAGATTATATTTGCATGATGGGGCAGAAATATTTTCTAACTTTCTCTCCTTTTTTTTTGCTTGCAAGGTTCCTGAGAAAAACTTATATAAATAAGGCATAAACTTGAAGGAAGCACATTCATTCTCACAGAAAGAACATTAACAGAAAGGAGTCGTCCAGCTCTACTGTAGATACTGAGGTTTGTATTTTATATTAAGAAGATAGAGCCCAAGGGTGCCGGGCTGTAACCTACCATTTCCCAGGCCTGCTCAGCCCCCAGGGTCACTTCTGTATCCAGCAAGAGCTCAGTGACCGCAGTCAGGTCCCGCCACGTCACTGGTACCTGCATGCTCGTATTCAGGGAAAGGAGAGACTTAAAACACATTTACTGGATGCACGAACTCTTACCTTCTTTTGGAACTTTGCTTAACCCATTCTACAATGAACTAGTAAATACAGTCAGAGAACTTTCCATCTGTTTTTTCTTTTTTTCTTTTTTTTACCAGTTACTACTCAACTCATGTTATCAGCACATACCTATGGGCCCAAGAGTCTTTTACATGTAGCATTCACAGGCAACAAATGTCAACATCATAAGGTGCATACAAACAGGCTGTTAACCTTATACTCACAAGCTCTTCCACTCCTCCATATGACACTGTCAATAAAAGTCTTTTTCTGATAAAGTGCTTTCTGCACAGTAAGCGAAACAGACACAGCACAGCAAATTTTACTACCTCAGATACAGCTGTGCTACAAATGTGTGTGTGATTTGGCAGTGTAATCTTTTGCTCTGATAAACTATTAAATGCCAAAGAAAGCTTCTTAAGTTAATCAGGGCTTAATTTAAATAAACAAGCCACCAAAGGCTTAACGGAAGTCCTTTATGGAATCTGAATGCAAAAACAGGCTGTTCACAGTCCTGGGCCAAGTTCATAAAAGCAACTGCACCGGGATGAAACTGGCCCATTAACCCCCTTTTTTTTCTCCTTATTGGTATCACCAATGAAAAAGATGTTGATTTTCTGAAACACCAACACAACCATTCCCAGCTCCATTGACGCAGTTTTGGCAACATGTGCTAATACTGCACGTGAGGAGGAGGAGGAGGAGGAAGAGGAGGCAGAGGCGGGATGACTCCATTTTTGTGATGGAGAGGAGTCAGCTGAACTCTCCAGGAAGAGACCCGGACCTGCCCGAGCCGAAGCCGCCGGCGTTGCTGGCCGCCTTCGCAGCCGCAGCAGAAATTCCCCCCGGGAGCACCCGGCGGGACGGGGACGCGCTCGGGGCGAGAGCAGCGGCCCTGCGGGTGACTTCACTGCAGCAAGCCACCGCTCCCCAGTGAGCAGGGCTCCTTCCAGTAGGTAAGCTGTATGTATGCATAAATAGTCACGTGCTCAGCGCCTACGCAGGTAAAGATAATAATTTAAAAACTCTCATCTTAGGCCCGATATTGTTATTTTATCCCGCAAAGGCAATAAATGATCAAATCTTGGTGAACAAAAACACGCCAGACTGGAGCCCATACAAAATATCTTTGGCTGACGTGCTATATATATCAGGTTCTTCATTAGTCATTATTTAATTCTGTTGCTCTGTGGACTCTCTCTCAGTGTTTTCAGTACTATGACTGGTACATTTTCAAGTATTATCTTTTTCGAACTGCAAAATCATCTTCCTTCTTTATTTTTTTCCCATGAAGGCTGCTGATTATCTCCCAAAAGCCTTAATTTAATGAAAAAGTCTTGTTATTTTAAGTGCATATTTTCCATTCATTTATTTACAACCATCTTTGCTAAGTTGAAAATTTACACTGAGCTTGAGTTAAATAAAATCAATACATTAAAGAAGAATATCAAAATATTCACGGAGCCAAAATCTAGGGTAAGATAGCTACAAAAAATATTTCTCCATGACATTTCACTTGCCCTCAGGCAAAAATGGTTCATTTTGACATGACAAAATTTAACAACTCTTCTGCTTGCTTTTTCATTACTCAGACCACGCTAAAAATAGGTACAAGGAGACCAGCTGACGACTAAAGAAAAACATTCTATTTAATCACAATATGTACATCCAAAATACAAATTGCAAAGCTGCATTTCAAAATGCATTCACAACGCCGCTCTGCCACCGTCAATGTGCCGGATGCAAAGTTCTTACAACCTACTGGCAAAAAGGAAATCCCAGCCACAGACAGCTCGCTGACAGGCATCGGGGTGAGGAAGACCAGCGGGGCAGCAGGAGACCACCCCGGGCAGCTGTAGCCCAGCAGCCACCCTTCGCATCCATTCACTCCCCACTTACCTCTCCCACTGGCTCCCAACATCTCCAGTGTGGTTCTGGCCTTTCCTTCCCGACCCGCCGCGCCAGGCTAACACGAGACTCCTTCCTACATCATCGTTTCATATTGAAATGTTTTGCACACAAGGCATTTCAAAGGTGCGATCAGGCCCATCAGCAGTGTAGCCGTATTTCACACTCGGGCAAGCGCTGTGGTTTATATTGCACTGAAACTGGCCTTTCATAGAGAAACTTGCCTGAGGTCACTGAGGAAGCCTGTGGGAAAGCTAGGAAAACAGCCCCTGGCTGCAAAATCCTACTACCTGCAGGAGCATCACTTCTCTCTTTCATATTAAATCGGAACGGAATTAGTATATTGAATTCCTCACTGTTCTCCTCACGCTGCTTCATTTCCTGGTTCAAACAGTCCTCTCTTTCTGTAGATTCACCTTGGATGTCAATTTTCCTCACGTTAGAGACGCGTTATCACCAGCGACAAATGCAAAGCTCCCATTCTCAGACTGTGCTGCTGGTGACAGCTGCTGGAGCAATTCTACATCAAGTACAAAGTGTACCACTTGCAGGGGAATGTGAATAATACCATGCTGCTGCTTTAGTACAACTACATCTCTGCACGGAAAAAAAAAATGGCACAAGAAACAGTAAAAAAATAAAAATATCTATTAGATATCTCCTTTTCCTTCTGCCAATGCTCCCAGAGGCTAATGGAATTCAGTTACTGAATATAAATGATTAAATAAAAAGACAAATGAAGTTTCTTCTTGGTCGAAACAAAGTATAGCATCAGCTTGGCATCTTCCATGTCCTCTGTCAGGGAATTAGTACTTAACATTTAACATTTCCAAAGTGCAGTCCATCAACTGCCTGATTAACCTGACACATGCCAGCCCCGTGGATGGTCTCTATCACATCGGTGCAGGAAGTTTCCTAATTCTAATGACCACGTTCAACCTTTCTATGGCACAAATCGTAGGTTATTTCAGTTTTTTCCTCCCTGCCAGTGAGCGCAGTGGCAGCAATCCTTCAATCCATTCATTGGCAGCTGACATCATCTCCTGCCAAAAGGCCACCTCCTCTTGCGTGGAGTCCATCCAGTCCACAGAGATGCCATAGCTCAAACCTGTAAAGAAGAAGAAAACTGCTACGTTGGGAGCTACACAAAGAGTTTCTACTCCATGCAAAAATACTCATTGGGATGTAACTGCTACAGGCAGTGCCTTAACATAAAAGGTGCTGACTTCCCTTCAGCAAGCTGCATGCTAAATGCCTCCTGCTCTTCTGCTAATGACCTCCACTTTACACCAGAGTTCAGAATTTAGTCAATGTAAAAGCCAGAAAATGCAGCAACCCTAAAAATACCCTGCCAAGGAAAATAATATTGGGCTCAAGCCCTTTCTGCTCCTTTCAGAATGGTAAAGAAAGCCTAAAAGGCTTGGGTTTCCCCTTAAAAGATTTTTGTGTGGACAAAGTGGGGTATTTGTCAAAATTCTCTTGCTCTACGCTTCATTTGTATAGGAATTAAACATATGAGAGCAGAAAAGTGTGTACTTTAATTCCAAATTGATTATTCAACCAAATTTTCAGGTGCTAACCAGTTGTCGGTGATATAAAGTTCTAAATTTGGATCACAGCTTATCTTGGGGTTTGCATTTTTCTGTCTTGCTTGTGAGCTTATTCTTGTTGCCCCTTCCCACTCGACAGTTCACAGCCCTCCTGGTGACAGGTTAGAGGTTGAAAACAGAACACACAAGCAAATCCAAAAAACAGAGGTGCACCTGCAAGGCAGACCTTCCAGCTACTACATGCCTTTTCCTGAGACCCTCAAGGAACAGTTAGCCTTTATTGCAACGTTCTGAAATCATCTTTTTGTCTTTCATCTCTCAGAGACCCCTCTTGCTTAACAATAAACAGTTCAGAAAACCTTAGATATCCCACTTACAATAATACAAAGGTGAACATGCTATCTGTCAAAGGCTAGGTATGGGATACGCTGAAAGTCAGGATATTGGCTTAAAAATATTGGAATTTTCCTAACTTCAGGGATGACTAGCCCCACTGAAATAAAACATTTCCAGCTGAGCACAGGTCTAAGTCCTCCTGAACTGAAACCTCGTGCCATCAACTCCTAAAGACAGTGACTGTCTCCCAGGGGAGCAACGGCATTTTCAGCACTACATCATCTAAATAAAAACAAAACAAAAACCCAACAATAACACCTTAGTCTACACCCAGACAACTCCATTTTTCCCGTTTGTGATTTAATTCCAGCTGTTGTACTCTCAGTACTGATTACCTATCAGATCAACCAGTGTTAGCTCACCCTGTTTTTCAAACATTAGCTATTCCTGCTATTAAAGGGTTTCAAGGGAGGAGGTGATGTGGACGGAGTCACCAGGTGGTGCTGTCCCACACGGCATTCATGGTGTCTCCATCTCTGGGCACTCCTCCCTGCCAGGAGCAGCAATACAAGGGCGATGTGTGACACAGTCTGTTTTCCTGTAACAGCAGGAAAACTCTCTGATGGACGCAAGGAGATTCTTGAGTTTTACCCGACCTTAGAGCTGGTGTTGGCAGAAAATGTGGGAATAGAGGGTTGCTACCGTGGTACCAGGGCCCCTCCATCCCAGACACAGTGCAAGTACAAAGACTCTCCAATTACTAAGACTCCCCATCCCTGGTTTCTCCCCGACAGGAAAACGCTCTGCAACTTTCCATTATATCATGTGGCTCAGCAATATGGTAACAGTATTCATTTAATGTAAAGGAAATCACTTACCTGTCCCAAGGCCCAGCCTGATTCCTCCAAGGAAATGGTTGGTAAGTTTTTCATGATCCCACACAGTCAGTTCAACACAAGCATCCTTTAGATCCTCTGTATGAAAGCCATCATATACAATAGTGTGATTGAAAACAGGGTTTGTGTCTCTTTTAATGACTCGGGTCTTTTGGTAACTCTTCTTACTGGTGTCTGGAAGCACATAGCTTTGCGAGGAGAAAAAATACAGCATGTAGTATTAAATATCACCTGAGATTTAAATTGTTCCTACTAAGTTCCTTTGTCTAAGCAAGCTTCAATTCTGAAGAAAGGAGGAAGCGGGTCTCAACATAAGAAATCTCTGTAAATTTAATAGGAAATGTTCATAATTCCTGGATGCAACTTTTTTTTTTTTTTTTTCCAAAAGCATCCATTTTCAAAGCAAACATTTTCAGAAAGGAGGGCAATTGCTTAAAATTGCTTTTGGCAAGTGTTTGGGTTTTTTTTTTTGCAAACTGACATTTTACATTAAAAAATTGACATTAGTTTCACATATTTTTATTTTCAGAAATTTTAATCACTTAGATGACTAAGAGGGCATTTCAAAATGGTCTGTTAGGCTTTTTGAACAACAAGCCTTTCTTCAGGAGAACTCTGTAAGGATCTAAAATATACAAAAACCACAGTGAGCACTGGAAAATGATGAAAAAAATCTTAAAATACCCTTAAAAGATTTTTAATTTTCTGGAATATTTGCAGCACTTTCTCCCATATAACAGGCAAAACTGATGTTACAGGCTGCAGAAAACATACACATACTAAATTCTGGAGAAGATCAAAGCAGGATCCAACTGTCTGTATGTCAGATCTGGCGAGTCCCTAATGAATTCCCAAACTTTGCATGCAAGCCCGTATCAAGGCAAAACTCACAGCTTCACATTAACACCCTGGGCCGAGGTACAGGGCCCATGGATCCCTCTCACTCAGATGTTATTGAGGCAAATCACTGAGTGAGTCACAAACAGTGATTGACCAAGAGCTTTATCACAGCAAGGATCTTCCTAATTTGTCCACAAGTGAATAACAAGGGTAATTCTCTCCTACAGAGCCCAGTGCAACACAAAGGCTTTACAGTATGAAGGCACAGCTAGGTGAGCCTGAAGAAAGAGAAGAAAGCGTGCCAATTTGTGGAGGCACGGACCCAGAATCAAAGCCAATAGCATGCTCATGCACTTACCATTTCACAAAGGAGTCAACTCCAGAAGGACGCAACTGCAGCAGGTCCTTGACGTCTTTGACCCAAATGTGAACTTCTCCAGAGGGAGGATTCTTGGGACCTGCCATTTAGGAGAAGAGAAAAACTGTCGCGCCAGTCTTTACAACAGCTAGCAAAATGACAGGCTTCCTCTGCGGGGACCTGAGGGAGCAGCAACATGACTTCTCTGCATACTCACTCCCTCGTGAGCTCTGCACCCCTCTGCCTGGGTGCCACAGCACTCCTACCAGCCCTGTCACACCTGCAGCTGCAGAGGCCTCCTGACACAATCTGCTGGCGCTGCTTTGAAACGGGAAAGGAGCAGGAACTGCTGGGCAAAGCCAACCTGGTGCCGGCCCCACAGTAAGAGGGGCTGTGTGCTGCTGCTACCACATCACAGCACCCTGCAGCGCCCACAGCGCTCATAAAAGCTGATGAGTTTGAGGTTGTTGAGCCCTTTCTCTCTCTCCCCAACACTTTCCCAATAAATCCAGATGTGACACTCAGGTGTAGGCTGCAGATAGCGTTATCAAGCACTGCTGGCTGTGCCTTTGTGCTGATCTCTAAGACCTTGCACTAATGAGATCACCCTTTAACCAGCCCTTAAAGAGATGAGGCACTGCAAGTTGCGTGCCTACATCTAGGCAATACTTCCTAATGCATGAAACAGATTTTACCTAGGCTTCCTGGAGGGACATACTTAATAGACAAATTCATCACTCCTCGATGATCCACACCATTAACAGCAGAAAGGCTCTGAAACAGAAAGAGTTACGATTGACTAAACAAGGGATTGTGTAAACACAGCAAGGCAAACAGCTTTTCAGTTCAGTGGAAGGGCACAAATGAACAACCTCTGACTTTTCATGGCTGAGGCAGCCCGTTCTCAGGGCAGCTCCTTTCTTTGTAGCTTTGTTTTCAAACTCAGTCCCTCAGAACCAAAAGCCTGAGAATTCAGAGCAAGGCTGCCCTTCCAGACACATCCAGCTGGACATAATTAAGCATCTTAGTTTTGAAAGACAAATGTCCTTTATTTTCTGAAAAGGGATCTCAAATCAGGCCTCTGAACCCAGAAACATGCAGGAAGCTGTACAGGCTTTACAAAAAGTGGCACTTGAATACTTATCTCTCAAGGCATGTTCAACTGCATCACCTAGTACTCTGCTGTCTATTTTTAAGCGATGGTTCTTTATGTCAGTAGAGAGAGGCAGGCAAAGTCATGTCAGAGTTTCTGTTGAAAAGTGTCAGATCACATTTATGAAGGTGTCCCTACAGATCAGTCACCAAATGAGATCCTAGAAGGCCCGTGTTCAGAGCACTGAATATTGCACTAAGGTGTCCAGGGCTTGTGGGAAGCTTACTGCACTTCCCCAGGTACAATTCAGGTTGGTCTGCTCCACCACACCACCCAAATACCTCAGAGGAGTCAGGAAGGACTTCTGCTATTCCTAAAGGCTTCAGGGTTTGGCTGGGAAGCAGGAGGATTGCTGCTGAGACGCACTTACTCGGGGCTTCAGCGGGTACCAGTTGAGTTTCCTGTTGCTCCAGTCCCAGCTGGCCAAGTCTACTTCGATCTCTCCCAAGAAACTGTTACGTCCCAGTGGATCATTGTGCCAAACAGAGAGATTTAATTTTTGGATCAGCAACACCGTTTTCTCTATTTTATACTAGAGGAAGAAAGACAAGTCAGGATGTTCAAATTTTTCTTCTGTTTCTTTCACAACCAGAAATGAACTACTCAAAAGCTTGAATAAGCTCTGACGGAGACACTCAAACCCACTCCACACATGCAATAATAGACTGCCCTCGCGCTGAACACTTTGGGTTTTTTTTGTCCTGCAGCAATACTACCACCCTGACAAAGCTTTTCTGCTGAGCACAGGGAAGCCTAGCACAGCCATTCATCACAGGGCAAAACCAATATTCTTTAAAGAATTATTAACACAGGCCCGGGCATTGTTAAATAATTCTTGAGGCATTTTTGAGTAAGATCACACAACAAAGACCTTTCTTACTAGTCCCATGTCTCGTGACTGTGCACCAGGGAAGAAGAACACCCCTTGCTCTGGCTGAGGGCAGCACAGGCTGCAGGACCTTATCTCTTCCAAAGATCACTGTGGGGATTTGACAAAGAAATACTGCGTGCCACACAGATGGGTGCAGAGAAACCTTTAACATCTCTGCCCCCCACAAACCCAAGGGAAGAGCAGCGCAGCGTTGGCGGGAGGCAGGCAAAGAAGCCTGGCCAAGAAGGCAGGATCCTTCCAGACCTGACCTGGTACAGGTGCCTGCTACAACACAGGTTTTCAGAGCGTGTATTTGTTCTTACCCGTAACACCTCATTATAAATGGGATTTACTGTCCTCTTCTTCACTGAAGTTTTCCTCTTACCCATTCTAGCTTTGTCTGGGAGCAGGTAAGTTTTAACATACCTAGAAAAGAAAACAAACTCCAGTTGGATATTGTTCCATATTGCCAAGCTCCAACAAGCGGGCAACACTTGAGAATGGTGACGGAGAAACAAAAGACCTGGAGTTGATTCTGTGAGGGCAAAACTAACTAGGAGACATGCTAGGATATTAACTTGTCGTGCATGTGAAGCTATAAATCTCCCTGGAGATGGGTGGATGCCACCAACATTCAGAACAGACAGCTTTCTAGGCAATATGGGAAGCCAGGAAGGCCATATATCCATTTTCTGAAATGCCCATGACTATAGCATCTCCGTACATTCACAGTCAGGGTGAGATTAGAGAGACAGAAAGAGGTGGAATGTCTTTAAACCTTTCTCTCAGGGTTCATATCCAAGCTCCTTTTCATCACCTTTCAAACCAGAGATCACTAACCTCTGTACAACTGCCATTGTGCCCCTAACAGCACTTCTTTACAGACTTTCTTTTCATATAGGCATGTGTCTGCATCACCAGAGTTATTATCAAAGTGTAACTACCAAAGGGTAGATCAAGGTTCACATGGATGCAGAGAGAACATATTCCAGTGATAACAGGAGCTGTCTTTTTAGTGATCAAAGCTTTCTCAATCTGTTCAAATTTAAGCCTGGCAACATTTACTGATGTCAATGGCTCCAGAACCATCAGCTAGGAAAGTCCCAGCAGAAAGCATGCACCAGAAGTCTGAAGGAAGGAACAAATCATGACATTTAAAAAGAGAAAACATACAAAAAAAACCCCTCCAGAACACAAAATTCAGCAATGTAGAAGTCACAAGGCACCAAAGCATCACTCACGGGTCAGATCTGCCTTTCTTCTCATCCACAACAGCCAAGTCCTTGCACTGGGACACATGAACCTGGAACTCCCGGTTCTTCTCATCATAGTCTAGGGCAAACTCCACGGTACCTTGGGCATCCACACTCCCAAAATCACCGCTGTAGACACTGAGCACACTGCCACTCACCTGCCAGGTAGAAGAGGAAGGTCAGTGCCACTGAAATAGGCATCATCCTGACTTGGTTTCTGGACAAAGACGATAGTCTGAGAAGTGCACTCCCAGAAAAATAATCTACAATTTCTGTCCTTGTGTAGTATTCTGTCCTTGACACAGAAATGGTCCGCATATGCAACTGTGCTCAAACAAGCAAGGTTTGGGGAACCTGAATAAGGGTCTCACAAGGATGTGCTAAGCTAGACCATGACTTTAAAGCACTATTCTTCTGAATGCTCAAGAAATGCCCAAGATTTTTCACCCCTAAATCCCAGAGTCGAATATTACTGAGCGGACCACACAAGCTTCTTCCCTTTCCCTGTGCTTACAGTACAAACAGCTGCTATCCTGACCCAGTCTCATCATTAAGAAAGAAATACGTCAAGAGAACTTGATCTGTATATGAACTTATCATTTCAAGTATATATAGGCACACGACTGTCAATCAATTTTTAAAATAGGCTAGTAAGAACCATATCAGATGAGAAATGTAGGAAAAATTATTACTATCTTGTTGATTGCTCACAACAAAAATAGATAACACCCCTGTCCTGAAAAGCCTCTGTCTCACCAGAGACAGCCTGTGTGCATCTACTTGACACAAAGGCAGAGGAAAATGAGGTTTCTGTAGGTATAAATCAGGAGCTAGGCACCCAAGAGTCACTTGCTTTTCCAGAACAAACTGCATTTGCCCGTACACCTTGGGCTCCTTTTTTCAAGGCTTTGTCTTTCACTGGTAGAAAGTGATGAAGCAGAAACAAATCACAGCTCCAGAAAAATTAGAGAATTTTCTACTGCATCAATCACTCATGATTCCTGATGTGATAACATAAAAGCTAATGTTGTTTACAAAGCAAATAATTGATCCTCTTGGCAATTTTCTGTGGTACAGTCATGAACATGTATCAAAAAGTTTCCTAGCAATTAACCCAATTCTTCTCTGTCTCCCACTACTTCCTTTGGTTCTGAATTTCATTCTTTTATAACCTACAAAAACCTGCTAAACATTTCCTCTCAGTCCTTGGAGCTGCATTTACCATCCCATCAGGATACTCACCCCAGCAGAGAATCCAGAACAAGATTTTCAAGAACACCTGTGTGACTTGGACACAAAAGGCTCATTTATAGCTCCAAGACTCTCCAGACTAGAAGGACTCATGCGCCCCAAAGTTCAAGGGGATTTTTAAACATATTTATCTACATTCATAATCTCTCCCTGTCAGCTTTGCTTCAAATACATTCTTTAAACCTCACATATATGTCTTAGAAATACCTGTAACAGTAATACATCAAATTCAAGCACTTTTAAGCAGCCCCCCCAAAAACGCTGTCTCTAAGAAAAATTTAAAACACACTCAACTAAACACACTCAGCTCTTTTCAGCTTTCCTTAGAAGTTGGAGCTCTAAATCACGCTTTTGCTGTCCGAGTTCCCTCAAACTTGCTGACAGAGTAAAAGGATGAGCTTGCACAGGGCACCCATCTGCAGTCCCAGCTCTTGCAGAGCTGGACCACAGACATGTCATTTGATTGCCATGTGCCTCATTTCCCCATCTAGAAAAAGCCTGCCCCCCCCCGCCTCCTGCACACTGCTGGGCTTCAGAGCATCTGCACTTTGGAGCGGGGGCTATCGCTTACTGTGAATTTGTCTAACAATGACTCGGTGGGTCTCTATTTGAGATGGTACCCGGAGATGCTCCTTTAAAGCAAGTAATTAACCATCACCGTTCTTTTAATAATGTACCGTGCAGAAACCAACAGGATACTCCGGAGGCCACATCATCAGTATCAGCCTAAATGCAGTGTCACCCCGTCTGACTGAGAAAACCTATCCAGCGAGACGTACACGTTAAATACCTACCGAGGAGACAGATGCCATGTCGGACGAGTGGCTGCCAATGCTAGGCGTCTTTTTGTGCTTGTTAAACTGGAAGCTGATTTCCGAAGCCGTGTCTGATTCAGTCTGCTCAGAAAATAACAAGTATTTTTAAGCTCTGCCTTGTGAGAACTTTGCAACACTACAGAGAAAAACCAATAGCTCAGCAGAGCCCCATTAAGCAGCGATCAGGTTAGGAGAGTGGAGAAGAACGCAGGGAGTCTCCCCAGAGGCATTCCCTCCGACCAGCAGCGAACGTCATCATTAACTGCCTCCAAACAGAGCTGCATGCAACCACCTGGGCTCTTGGAAAGGGCACGGAATAGTGTGGTTTGAGACAGAGGGAAACACTAAAACTCCTCCAGGACAGAAGAGTTGGTCTGGGTTACTGGGGGTTTTTTGTCTTAAGGCTTTTCTCATGTATTTATGACATAACCAAGGCATGCTCTAAATCAAGTACTGTCGGTGTCCAGAAGAAACATCCTCATGAAACCGACTGCCATTCAGGGAATGCTGTGAACATTATACCAGCCATTTCTGGCATCTAGCCTACCTCAGACAACAGGAGAGGAGAGGATCTGCTCAGCTCTTTGACTCTTTCCGGTTCAAGAAACTGATGGGGTATCAAATGAGGTTTATTGTATGCTGTGGATACAAACAAGAAAGGCATCACCTTGTCAGAGTCAGGAAAATATGAGAAAGACACATTTTTGTTTAAGGACACATGGAAGGAGAAAAAGCTTGTGAAGGCACTGAAGTACCACCTACTTGCCCCGTCTCCGTCATCAAAGCTGATCCTCCCCAAGACAAAACTGCTAGATAACATCTTAAAGCTATTTTCAATGTGTTTTCATTCAATGTGTGGGAGTGTGCAAACTCCCTCTAGTGGCTAATTTAATTCTCTTATTAGCCTAAGAATGTGTCTTGTTTGCATCACTCTTTTTGTAGATTTAGTTTACACTAAAACCATTCAGATCTGCTTCCTTGTCAAAGAAATCAAGCATGCTCACATTTTCATCTCGTAGTACATTGCCCAGTACAAAAGAGCTGCAAAATATTTATACATACAATTTCACCATTGCATACACCTCTCAAATACTCTGCTAGATAAAGAGGTGGACAATAGCTGGATGTCTAAAAGAAAAAAGTCAGAAAGCTTCACCTCAACTTAGAAAGATGGTTACTGAACTGCTTAAACATCTAAATAAACCCTATTTGTTCTATCTTTATCTTTTCTCAATAACTCCCTTGAAGATGACTATCTATACCCCAGAAGAATTTGTTTTTAGAAAATATATGTGCATAAACATGCATACACACATATACACTTGTTTAGTGTGTTAGCCATGATGATACATTCTTCAGTGCTCAAAATGCCCAAGAACTTCTTTGACATTTTTGTTTTATATGATTTACCTTTTATATGATTTACCATTCATTTGATATTTACTATTTTTATTTCCAAACACAAGCAAAGCATTAAATCTAGCCCTCTCCACAGACTACTTGTTTTACTGCAAACAAGTAAGTGTAACTCTGCAGAGGACGCTTTCTGATGATGAAGTTGGTGGCTCTAAATAAACTTTAATAAGGGGAGGCTAAAATCTTGGTTGTGTGAAGACCACAGCACTGAAGAGCAACGCATGTGGGACCTGAAGCTCTGAGCCACCGTGCCGTGTGACATCGCTGCACAGGACGGGACACGCACTTGGCATGAGGCTACTGGAGGGGGTGGCACAGTCACAGGGCGACGCAGCCTTCGACAGGGCCCCGAAGAGGACTCTCCTGCCACCCATAACCAGGGGTTGGGCTTACTTAAAACAGGCTCAATTGTTTCCTCTAAGGGTCTCTACCCTCCCTTGGGCACTGCCTTCCCAGTCCTGGCAGCCTTGGTCTTTCCACTTTGCTCTTAGCTGTCCTCTTGGGCTTGCCAGTTTACACCTTTTGGGGACTATTATTGTCTTTCTTGGCTGCAGAGGCTGCCACTGCCTTCCTTCAGGCCCCCTTCCTTAGCTGCAGCTTTCTTGGGCTTCTTGGTGGCACAGACAGATCTCTTGAGCATGGGCTTCTTCAGGTTTGCTGCTGGTTTCTTGGTTGCCTTCTCCTTAGCTTTTCATGGTTTCTCAGGGAGGAACTGTTGCCGTAAAACATGCCCCAGATGGTAGCTGAGCAGTTCAGGCCAGCAAATGGGGTCTGCTCTGGGTGAGGTGAGAGGCCCAGGCTGGGCACTGCAAGCCCTGTGGGAGTGTGACAGGAGTCTGCGGCACGGCTCGCACACTGGACACGAGGTCTGGCACCTCTGATTAACCCACTGCACCGGCTGCCATGCAGCTCCCACAGTACTTACTGGGGGAAGAGGAGAGAGGGGTACAAGCTTCTTGTCAACCTTTTGAAGGCCTTATGTTTTTTGCTAAAGACATAGAGGAACATACCATCAATCTAGCTTCAATTTCCTGGCTCTGAATTTAATTTTAGGCACTATACGCTCTCTAATTTGATGACAAAACAATGTCATTTTCCTTGCCTGGTACATGCACAGAAGCACCAGGGATGCAGGACTCAGGCATAATGCATTACCTTCAGGGAATGTAAACCAAAAAAAGAGAAAGAAGTATGTTACTCACTCTCTGTGGTTGTGTAAATGTTCACCATGCTCTTTGCCAGATTAATGCTATTTGCTCGGGCCAATGCCTGAGCAGCAGGAGAATGATCCCCATCTTCCTCTGGAATACACAAAAAGCCAAATCAACATGGTAAATAAATAAACACAAAGAGGCAGTGTGTCAACAAGCACGTGTGTATGTGTCTCTCCTAGCTTGCTCACTCTGCTTAGAGCACACTGCAGTTACATTACACAGGGCTGCTTTCAAATCATCAGTGTGCTTTAACGTGTCTCCCTGAGAATAACTGCACACTATGATGGGATATGTAAACAATGAATTAACCTGGTCCCTAAAACAGACCAGCACTTGCAGAGAGCTTCCAGTGCAACACAGCCATCTGTTACTATCATCCTGAAATGAATGTAATAATAAGGCAAAAAACCTGAGAAATGTAAGAATGACCTTATATAGAAAGGAAATATTTATGTTGACCTGAAGTGCAACTCAGGATTTTCACAGCAATGTTACATGGGGTAGGAAATAAGCCAAGAAATTACAGCATTAAAAATCAAAATCAGAGGATTCTACGGAAAATCCTCACCAACAGGTCTTACCCAAGTACATAGGGGACAAGAAATTTGGAAAAAGGAGATAAGAAGCTCTTTCTTAGGTCTCTGTTAGGTAGAGAGCAGAGCTGTGGGCAATCAGAGCCCACATGTAAAATGAATTGCAATTAACAATAATTTCTGCTCATAGTAACAGTCACTACAAGAGCCCATCAAACCCTGAGGAAGAGGCTGACAAAGTGGTGATACTATTGACACCATCCTGGTTGAGAACATGGTATCAGAACCCAGACAGATCAGACTCCTTGTTCAGTCCACTTTGGTTGCAGTTTAATATCCAAATTCACTTGTGCATTCCTAAAAGACTCAAAATGGAATTTGAACACTGACACCCAGTGGCTATACCAAGGTAGCCTAATGGCCAATGTATTTATTCAAAACTTTGCTTCATGTTTTATTTCTTCTATTTGTGTCAAACTTATCTCTACCACCAGAAAGAATTCCTCCAGCCCCAGATTTGAAGAAAGTACAGTCCTCCCAGTGAGTGAAATAAAGTAAGTTCCTGTGACCTGCTGTAGGTAGCACTAAAGAAGGGAGGCTGTCCTGAGCTGAGGTGCTTGCAGGTAAGGCACAAAGGCTGGTAGTAGGCAGGAAGGCAAAGGAACATGGCACTGTCCCCATTTACACTTGCACTGGGCTACACAAGATCTGTTTCCAGAGCCCTTCGCTAAACACATTCCCCACATTAACTCTGCACAAATTGCAATATAGGATAAATGGACAAATGAAGAAAATGTGCAAAATGCAGAAAGGTTAGGGAAGAGGACAGGTTTAGGGATGATCTCTATGGGGATTTCACAGGGTGCAGTTACAGCCCTCAGTACCTGAGTAAACAGCTGAGTCCGCTCCCTGAACAGCTTCTCTCTCTCCATCTGCTTCACTGGGTGATGGCTTGTCTGAAGACTCATAGGTTTTTTCCTCAGGTAGTGCTCTATTTATTTCCATGTTGTCATGGGTGCCCAAATCAGATCTTTCATCCTTATCATCATCGTTTTCACCATCTGTAAGCACAGGCTCGATCAGTATCTGCACCCTGCTCGCCAGAGAATTCACTGCATGCTTGCGCTCTTCTGCCACGATAAACTCATCTGTAGGCGTCTCTGGCTCAAACGTGCTGCCAGACACTTCTTTGGTAGGCGACTCGATTTTGACGGAAGGCGCTCGCACAGGCAATCTGGATTTCTTGGAGCAGTGCTGTGCCACCTTCTCTTCCTCTGGCACTGGCTGCTTCCCATTGCTTTCACTCAGCGAGTTATTTCTTGTAGCCAGGCCGCCTTTACTCTTGGCATACGTGGATCTAGGAATGATGGAAACTGAGCCTTTCCTCACGGGGGCTACATAGCTTGGTTCTTCCTCGCTAGAAGACAAGGTTATTGTCCTTTTGTAGGGGGTTCTTGTTTTGGTGAAGACACCAGGTTTTTCTTCGCTGTTCTGGCCTTGCCCAGGCTGCCCAGAGAGTGAGCGGCACAGCTTGAACTGCCTACCGTCTGCCTCCACCCAGCTCGGGTCCTCCAGCACATTTCCCACCAGCACAGAGTCCGCTCCCTTCTCCCAGAAGTTTTTCAAGTTCTTGAAATGTTCACGATTGAGGCCGATATCCTCCTCTTTGTTACTCATTGATGAGATCGTATAGTTCACGCCTTGCTTCACAGCCTGGCTGCCTTCCCTCTCTGCGGTCAGCGGTTTGGGGCTGGCCAGCAGCTCTCTCTTTGCAAGGCTGTTCTCTGACGGCCCCATGTGATTCACAAACTGCTCAGATCTGGAGAAAGTTCTGCTTGGTTTCCTCTTAACTGGTATCTTGCTGGGAGCATAAGTTTCTTCGGGTGGAGTTTTTGGCCCCACTGTGGTGCCAGTGGCCCCATCAACAGCTTCTCCTCCAGCTGCACTGCTGGGCTGAGGCACAGCATCCTCTGAAAGCTTGGTGGGCAAAGGAGATAGTCCATGACCTACAACAACAACAAATGCTTACAGCCTGTCCCACTGCATCACACTGTATTTCCCTGGAAGGTCTGGGCTGCAGCTTCTCAAAGGGGATTCAAGGGGAGCTTCCAGAAACCATCAGTATGTTCCTAATTCTTCCCCATTTTAAGACTCTAGCCAGTCCTCTTCCATCTGAAGAAAGCCCTGAAAACCCCAGCCCTTCTTTCTGTAACAGGACACGGAAAAGATCTACTGAGCAATAAATTGTTGCTGTGAGTTGGGGATTTGTTTGCAGCTTTGCTTTCAGTTTGACAGCTTTCATACTGGCTATTTTCTACCTACCAAAAATACACTCTACATTCAAGGCAGGAAAGAGAATGTAACTTGGATCTGTGGATTAAGGAGTTGTGAGCCAAGCACTCAGTTTAAAACGTACTGAGAGCCAGGAGAAGTTTTAGTCATTGCTTTTTTTTTCTTGGTCCCTCTTGCCTTGAGTATAATTCATACAAATGTTGGCAGCTCGTTCTTACATGCCAAGGTAAGAAATACTCTTTGTTATTCATTTGTACACACAAAAAAAAGCATCTTGTTTCTTGGTGTTTGATGCTGAATAACAAAAACACCAATGGCTCACTGAACAAAAATCTTACCTTTTCTAGACAAATGCAAGCTGTTTGGTGCCGCCACAAATGGACTTGTTCCAGTGTCACTCTCTGAGGAAGAGACATCATGTATACTGGATCTCTGAATGGAAAACAAACCCTATCAGTGTATATAAACTGGAAACACTGGAAAAATGTATTTTATCTGAGCACAGACACCAGGGCAGGCAGCCTGTGGAGCCCCTGCCAGTAGGTGCAGTCTGTGTGAAGGTCCAAGGAATAACGAAACAAAGTGCAGAGGCTGTGCCTATGCTACCTTGTGTGATGCTGACAGTGGGAGACCAAGTCTTGGCTTCGGTTTTGGCAAGATTTTACGCTCCTCTGCGGTATCAAAAGCAGGCGTGCTGGATCTGTGGGAGAGGAAAAATACCTGAGCAAGGGTATCAGTGGTAGTGATGTGCCTGGTAGGGTGACCAGGAAGTCTTCAACATAATCTCAGTTCCGCTCAACTACTTTGCCACATTGGTCTGCTGACCCAGCCCAATATAAGGCTGCCCAAAGCTGGTGCCTTCATTTATTTCCTCTGTTACTGCTTGGACGGACTGGGGAACACATTAAACGGCCTGAACTTGGAGTAAGGACAAGTCTCCCACTGCGGTCAGTACAGAATTTGCTCAATAAAAACAATGGTTTCAACTTCTAGGTTTATTCAGACTTTCCCCTTCAGAGAGAAAACTGCAGGGAAAAACACAGGAAGCAGCAGTGCCAGAAAAGCCCAAGAGCCATGCAGGAGGCAGATGCATTTCCATGCTATGGCCTGGGAAGGAACAGGCCACACTTCCCAGTTCAGGCCAAAGGCATAACTAGGCTGATGGAGGATTTAGAAACTACAGGAATGATTATAAGAACAATAGTTGTTGTACAGGATATAAATCTTCATGCTTGGAATGTAAGTTAATTACTAATTGCCTGGTAAATAAATGGAAGAAACATATCACAGGCAGTTTGCCTGACTGTTTCTACCATTTTTGGGACCGTCTAGTGGTAGCTGCTCCCCTGATGTAGAACAGCAGTCAAGCTGGTGAGATTTCACAGGGTACTGCTCAAAAAAACCATTAGGACCATTGCTGTGTTGGTAAAGCAGGAGCATCTCAGGTTTGTTGACTCTGGATCCTTCATTAAGCAACACCCCATGATCATAAGCCGAGGCCCATGTTTAATATTTAACTGGAGCAACTGCCACCTGTGAAGAACGATTCCTCATTCTGCTGACAAAAAAATGCAAATGAGATGGGAGCAACAATAAATGAATATGTGAATATTTTAATGTCTTCTCCATAGTCCACAAATATTGAGTGAGGTCACTGATTTGCTCATTGGAATGCTTTTAGTGGGTGTTTCTGCTCAGTCAGCACAATGTGAAATCCCACCAAGCCTTGATGGAGAGTGTGGAGCACTGGACACAGAGGTTGGCACCAGCAGGAAATGAGCCGTTTCCTCAAACTGTTCATTTTGTTAGTGTCGCTCCATGGCAAAAAATAAACAAATAAAACCATAATTACTTTGAAAAACTAACAAGAATATCCTGGTACTAGAGACAGCATCCATTTTACTGACCCCTTATCAAATCATGCAGGAAAAGACCTTTCTGGGATAAGCACATTAGCACTTAGTTATTCTGGCAGGATTGATATTCTGACAATTCCTGGAAAAAGGGTTTTAAAAATATCCTATATAACCTATTATTTCTACAGTCTTGGAAACTCAGCTAAAGACCAGGATTTAATGGGTAGCACTCAATTTTCATTAGAAGAGCAGCAGCTAGAGCATTGCACGAGCAGCGGCGATTACCTCTCCTCTCCCGTGCCAGCAGCATGCTCAGGGAAGGCAGGGCTCGGGGCAGCTTTGCTTTCCAGACCTGCCCAGATGTGCTCGTTGGCCTCATCTGTAATATAACAAAGGCAACTGAGAAATTCCCTTTATTTAAACTTGTAATGGCTAGTGTGTTTTCTTTAAGAAAAGGCTTGTTAAATGAGTCCCACCAGCACAAACCCTGGGGATTTAAGAGGACATGGCTGATGGGGGCTCTGCCTGCTCCCTCCATGGATGGGGGAGACCCCAGGGCAGCATCGTCCACACTCCCCACGCAGCAAAGGCACCTCCAGACCCCACGGGACTGAGAGGCCAAAGCCAGCTGCCTAACGCCCGACTCACGCCAGGAGCTGTCTCATCACTGGAAACCTTCGCAGGACACTGCCATGGCTGTCAATAAAGTTAATCCGTTCCAGGATTTAAATTCAGCCATTTCCTGTTTTGACTCAAAGTCATCCGATCTTGGCAAACAAAGGAGGAGGCCAATACACTTAATGAAGAGATCCCTGTTATTTTCACTGGCACAAGGCTCAGCTGTGCCTTCTAAGCTCTCAAAGACCCTAAAGAAAAAAACAATAGAAGACAGGAACATTTACAGCAGCCTGCCAGGGCATAAAGTTGCATTAGACATTTTGCTTGGAAAAAAGGCTTTCTTGCTACTGCAAAACCAAAAGGATTAAACTCTCCAACAGCAATGAAAAACCGATCAACAAGATCTGCACATATTTATTCACATGCAGCTAGGTCTGTTTGAAAGAGTAAATCTATCTGCTATAAAAACTGCTATATCTCTTTAGGATATATTTCACTATACAATACAATAGAACCAGAGGGTCAAAGGATTCAGCTGTTGCTTTAAATAATATAGCCTCACTTGTCATCTGGTTAGAAAACTGTACTAAGCCCAAGAGCAGACCGGTCCTACGGACAGGCTGTGATATCAGTGTCATACTGATGGCTGGCTGTGTGGTGCCATCCAGCACCTAACAGGGATATCCGAAGATGGAGCTTCATCTCCCCCCTTGCCTGTGCATCTCCATGGAGAAAAATGCTGCAGCCCCAACTCCTCCTCCTCACCCAGCGCCTGGCCCTGCAGTGCAGGGGACCACGGCAGGTGTTGCTCAGGGATGTCTGCGTTAGGGCCACGTCTCTGGCACACGCAAGAGATGGAAGCTGGCTGGCCCCGTGATTTCCGTGGCAGTGGGAAGTGGAGGAGTCATTCCTGCTGGAAGGCAGGAGTCTGGTCGTGTAAGGATGAGCCAGTTTTAGAGAGCACATTTCTGAGAGAGGGATGGTGTTCTGTCCGTCAAAGCGTTGATGTGTAAAAACCATCACTGAACATAATTCTGGAAGAGACGAGCGGTGGCATGGCTGGTGGCACATGCAGGCGGTGGCACATGCAGGCATGGGGAGGCACACTGAGGAGCGTTTATTTTTACAGTGAGCCACATCCTCTCCTTCTGCTCTATACCCAAGGGAGGGAGATGCCAGCAGGTAGCTGCTCTAGAAGCAAAGGAACCAAACACAGAGCTCCCATGTTTTCCCTCTGCCTGTCATGGTTGAAAAGACCTTGACAACCAAGGACTGTATTCATTTCTCACCTCACTTCCAAAGGCATTGTGTCATATTTGCTTTTCATTGACACTTCCCCCTCAGACAGAGCTCCCCACTCCTGGCTGGCAGAGGCAGTGGGAGGTGTTTGCTTCCTCCCATCCAAATCACTGCCCTTCAAAATGGCTCAGCCACTGACACAGCTATACCTGGCTTCTATAATCACAAACAAATAGGTTATTAGAACATTATAATCCATCAAGACAAGCAAAATGCCTTTGCCAACTTTAGGATGAGACAGAATAACTAGCAAATTCCAACAGAAATTAGTAGTGGTCTGACCAGTTTAACTTGTCCATGCATACATTTATATACATATGTATACAGCCACTCCTGCCCTAACACTTTAGCTGCTTTACTCATTTCCTATCACTCTGAAATGAAGACACTCAATGCTTGGGGAAAGCACGGCTAACCGTGCCATTGGGGCTGACTTGCTTCGGTGGGTGGATAAAATGATCTCCTTCCTAGACAATTTGTAGCTCTCATCCATTGCACACAATCTCAGGGAGAAGGTATCACCAAATTCATCCATCTGTGCTGCTCTGCAGGCTGTCGTTTAAATATAGGGTATCTATCTGTTTTATAGATTTATATTATGGCCGATTACTAGTGTTTTCTATCATAATCAATATCAACTGTGAAGACCCTTAGAGATCCACGCTCCCCTCCCTCTGAAGGTTAAAACCTTTCTTCAGAAAATGTCACTGGGCAGGCACAAATTTCCACCCCCCCTCAGCCCATTTACCATGCAAAAGGAATGCTGGTAATTATCTCAGTGGGGCTTTTCCATGTAGGAATTTCCTCATTTCACTCCCTAACACAGTCCCCAAAGACTTAAATCAGGATTAACAGCTGTGGAGTCATGAACATGTTACATTGATTTGTCTAAATGAACACACACCCCTTCATCACCTTGAGAGCCAACAGAAGGCGAGTGACTCTGATCTTTCCAGGAGAAGAAAAAAAGGTGCCAAGATGGCAAGCAAAGGCCCGTATCTCATCTACTGCAGATTGAACGTGAGCTGCACAGACAAACCGGTTGTAAAGGGGCCTCACCCTCGTTCCCTGACAGGCCAAGCACTGATCACACCAGTGCAATACTCTTGATGACAAGTCAGTGAGAGAAGTGCTTGCCCTCACGCGTGAAGGGAGGCAATCTATATGGTAACCACTGCGGGAGCCTAGCACACAATAGGCAACAGCAAGGTGAAAATATTAGCTGCAGAATCTTGATCCTCAACCAGTGCTGTAAAATGGCTGTGGGAATAGTAAGAGGAAGAAATAAACCACATGCTGTGCCTGTGCTTTACCAAAATAAGTCTGAGAATAGAAAAAGAGAAAGAAAGGGAAGAAAAAAAGTTGAAAAAGAAACAAAGAGGGCTAAATCTAAACACGATTACTATAGTAATTTAGTAACATTTGCTTCTTCCTTCTTATAACAGCATTAGTCAAGTAATGAACATGTGAAGAGATCACTTGCATATCACTGCTATATTAATGAGATTGGTTTAGATGATAACTTGAGACCACATCTCATATGTGCACATCAGCCGTAAAAGATAAATTTAAAACCAACAATAATTCAAATTTTGCTTTCTTGAAATGGGCTGCAAGCTAAGGTTGTTGATGCCTCTGGCAAGGCAACAGGCAGTTGAATCCCATTCATTGCTGGCTACTATCTGGACTACAGATGACAGAGCATTTGTCTGACCTGGGCCCCAGCAGAGGGGCTGCTGGAGTGTCTGTCTCCTCAAGCAAAGAGGGTACAAGCACAAATGCACATCCTCAAAAAGCAGAAAGCATGCTCTGCAGAAATGGCCAGGCAACTCTGTCGAGCTGGAAAAGGTTTTATATGTTTTAGCATTCTGGAGGGAAGATAAAATAGTAAATTTAATGACATCATGAATTCTTAATACCAAGGATAAAAGCAACTTCATATGAAATATGATGGACCAGTTCTGCATCAGAGGTTCCAATGAATCTATGATGAGTTATGAGAGCTGTCAGGGATAAGTAAAAAGCAACAAGAAAATGAGGCTCTCAGTTAGTGAAGTCCGTAGCCAGCGTTTAGCTTTGAGAATGTGTCTAAGTAATGTGAAGCTCAGAGGGGTATGCTAAACCCAGGAAATTAATGTTAGATATCCTGGCCAGTGAGGCCTACCAAAGAAAGGAGTGACCTACATTGCTCCTACCCCACAGCAGGAATGGGTAGGTGGGCCCAGGAAAGAGGGTGGAACTGAACTGGTGAAGACGATATCTGAATTTTGGACAGATGGAAGATAACCTTTTATCTATGAGTAGCCCTTATTGCAAAAGAACAGTGCCCAGTTATAGGGTCCTTATATTAGGGACCGTGGTCGACTTGGCTTAGAGCTGTATGTCAGGGCCATGGCTTCCCCAGAGCAGCAGCAGCCAGTAACTCACCAGCCATGTCTGAGTATCTGTGATTACCCACCCCGACAAGAAATCACTTGAGGTTTTGTGAGACTGGGCTGCAGTTCCACGGCCCTGCTGCAGAGTCAGTTGGCCTGTCTTCACGTTGAGGACTGGTTATGAATCATCCCCAGTTCTGCTTTGCACAAATGTTAAGCATGAAGTGCCAGCACCAGGCTGGTTGTGTTTGGACTCAAAGCTCAGTCCTGCTCACTTCACAGAGAGCTGATCTCCTCTCTTTTCTGCCCTGAGCCGACAAATCTGATTTGATCTGTTTTACATACCTCCACAAGAATTCATCTGCATGTCAAACAACACACAACACATCTGCTTCAAGTTAGCACACAGGCCCACATATAGCCTTGCTATGGCACAACAGCCTGGGTACCGTTCAGACTTGGCCCTCAAACCCTTTTTACTTTGAAAACCACATTGTGCCTTGGAATAATTTTTATGTAAAAAGCTAGGTATGGACCTTCTCAGCTGGGCAAATATATGTCAGGAGAAGAGAGTCACCCCCTCCTTTTGCAGAGATGTGACTGACCCCAGCACCCTGGAGGCCTGCGAGAGCAGCCAGCCATCTGTTTCTGTCAGACCACTCTAGGAACTGGGGCAGGGGGTGGTGGTGTTTGACCCACACGTATCAGTTTGACGCCAGAAACTTCCCTACCTCATCCCCTTCCCTTTTGGCTTCTATGACAAGAAATGATACCAGTGACCTCTGACAGACATTATGGAAGAAAGAAGCTACAGTGGGGAGAAGGCACCTACTGCATGTAGCTGGTAAACAGCTTTTGCCTTGGTCCTCTGCCACACTGTAATTTTTGCTTTGGGTCCTGATTTGGATAATCAGGCTTTTTTTTCTAGTACTGAAAGCTCAGCTGACAATCCCCTTATCACAACACAAAGGCTGGTCCCCAACAGGCTCCCAGTACAGTGAGACTCCCATACTTGACCACTTTTTCTGGTCCATCAGTTTGTTTTCTTAAGATGCACACTATCATACTTACTTTCTAGTTTGCCCTTTTTCCTTCTAATCGATGCCCGAAGTAGATCTGGCCCCTCTAAGTCTTCCTGAAACCGTTTTGCCTTCACTTCTGAAAACCATTCACCTGTCACAAACTTCTTCTTCTTTTCATCCTTGATGGAGCCTTGTATCCGCCTGAAAGTCAATCAGAACATTATACACCCAAAAGATCTCCAAGTTTTCGACTTCCCCTGAGCTACCTTCATAACAATTGTCCATACAGTTCACTTGTCTGATACTACGAAGGTTCCAGAGATTATTCTCTACAATCACAAGGGCCAAAGCAGCATTACAAAAGAAACAGATTTATCCTTTATCTGAAATGGGAACAGCACCTTGTGAACACAGGCTTTCAGCTGAGGGTTTGGGAAGGGGTGGGGCTGTTTGCATGTCTTGTGCTTCTCTGTTTTATTTGCCTATTAATCTCTTTATGAGTGGCAAAGCCTTTTGGAACAAATCTGATGCACAACATGGAAACAAATCATGTTATTTAGGGGAGCAACCTGTCCCTGAAGCACTCTTCCCAGACACTGCTCCTCTCCCTGCTCCTGCTGCCATGCTGATTTTGGCACACAAACAGTTAGTTCTCCTTCCTGAGCACAGCTTCTCCTACTGTAACTCACTCAGGCACACCCAGGGCTGTTTTTTGGCACTTAAACCCGCCAGTGGCCAGTGCTTTGTTTGCTAGCCTGTACCTTTACCCTCCTCAGGTTATTTTGTTTTTATACCATGACTTGTTGAATTAGCTTTCAGCTGGCACTGCCTCCCATAGCTCAGCACAATTCAGGGTCCCTGTGAGAGCTGAGAGGCCAGAGGAAACTCCCACCTCAGTCCAATTCTCAGCAGGAAGAGGGGGCAAAACCCCAAATAACCATGGAGCCTTGAAGGGTCACACTGGGCTGCCTAAAGGCCAGAAGGGAGAAGGTATGGGATAAACGGGCTCAAGCCTCTGCTGGCAGTGCTGGGGGGGCCCAGCAGGACTGACAGCCAGGGAGCTGTGCAGCTCTCATCTAGATCAGGGCTTCATCTGCCCCCATGAGGGTCTCGATGTGTTAGACCAGAGGAGATGTAGGAATGAATTTTCATCTTGTTGACACCAGATCAGTGTAATGCCACTGACTTCATTTTGCCCAGCAGGAAGGTTGTGTTGACGCCAACTGTGTCCACATTTGCACCAAAGGTCTTACTGCATATAGCAGGCTGACAGCAAGGGGCACTTGGCACCACCTCAGTCAGGATCTAACTCATTTTCCTCCCAAATGAAAGCCTTCTGTGCAGCAGGTTCCAAAGAGAAGTGAAACAAAACTGAAGTAATCCAAACACTCTTTTCCCCAAACCTCCACTACAGAACAGAAATTTTACTGCATTTCAGAAAAAGAAAAAAAGAAGATAAAACCTTTTTGAAACCTTCTTTCGATTCAGAGGCGACGCAGACACATACACCTCAAGTCCAAGCTCCATACATGCCACCAGCAGTGCTGTTTCCCCAGGTCTCACCCCCGAGCAGAGGACAGGGCACGTAGGCTCCCTGGAGCCTGTTGCAAAGCTACCCACTCCCCCTTCAAGCCTTGAGCATTCCTCCTACATGGGGCTTACTCTTTTTTGGCTCAACAGCAAGACGAAGACTCACATCCTTAACAGGGGTAAACTGGCACAGTGCCATCCACACTCACTGAACTACTCATTTCTTGCCGTGGAGAGTTTGGTGCCAGTTTCCTGAGCCTGGTGCATACTGTCAGCCCAGATGGTCTAATGGCTGGCATTAAAAAAGTGACAGCAGCAACAAGCAATCCTGATCAACCAGACCCGAGCTCCAGGATGGCCAGTGACAAGTGAGCTGAACTGAGAGCGATTCCTGGCTCTGAAATGGCTCCCTACAGACCTTTGTCAGATCACGGAGCCTCTCACTGCCCCTCTCTGCCTGCAAGACAGATGCTGCATACACACCCACCTCAGAGAGCACCGGAGGAACACGAAGCAGAGATGGAGATGTAAAGTCTCATTCTAAAACACTCTGCGGGATTTCTGAGCTACTGAGTGAGGAAAACAAGGCAGCAGCTACTCCCCTGCTTGGACTTCTGACACTGAGAAATCAGCATCTTCCTCCCCAGAGCAGGAAAGGGATGATTTCCCTTGGCATCTCTGAGGGCTGCTGATTAACTCAAAAGGAGAGTCCAGCCCTGCAACCCTACAGAGAGAGGACAGCAGCAACCAGGAGGATGGCTGAGAAAGCAGGAGGTGCAACGGAGAGAGACCCATCAGGGTCTGAGCAAGAAGAGACAGCGCTGCTGCAGCCTGCATCTCTCCTTGTTGCACACACACACACACACACTCCCCTCTAAAAGAAGTTAAAAAATCCCCCCAGGGGAACTCACGTCCTGCCTTGACTGCATGCTCTCTCACCTGATCCGATCCCCATCCTTCTTCTTCAGCTCTGCATCTCTCTGCAGAACCTTCATCAGCTTCTCATACTCCTCCTCGGTCAGGAAGCTCAAGTCCAACATCTTCTCTGCAATCTTCCTCAGTTCTTCAGACAGCTGAAGCAATGACACACCAGGAACTAATCCAGCCCAGCCTGCCACAATGCCATGGGCAGCCCCTGTGCAGCCTGCCCTGGTGCGCTGAGCAAGACGTGGCTGGAGAAAAAGGACTTCACAACAGCATGGCTTGGGTGGAAGTTGCGTTAGCACCTGGACTTGCACTTCCAGGCTCTTCGCTGGCGCTTTTCTCTGCACTGCATGCCTTCCCCTGCCAGGAAAATTCTCTCAGCAAAATTATGCTCCTTCGTTTTTCTTCAGGCACAGTCACAGCGATTTGGAAGCCAACGTCAATCAAACAGGCAAGCACGGGAAGGAGCGAGCTCGCCGCCCGCCTTAGCTGCCTCGACAGGCACGAAAGCTCGTCTCACCAACGGCAACCCCAGCACCTCTGGCATGCGCTTTCTTTAACGGGGAAGTCTGCCTCCGGGGAGTTCAAGCATCCCTGCAAAGAAATAACACTGAGATGCCTTTTATGATAAGCGCAACATATGGCAACTGAATGTGTACATTGGGGGTTTTTATTTGTTCTTCTGCACAAGTTCCAAAACAAGCTGCCCTACTTTTCTTCCTGTCCTACAGCTCCTCATGCGGTATTAACCTAACCAAGACAATATTTTATTTTATCCGCTTTCCTACTAACAGGTAAACATTTGGCTCAGCATGCTTCAAGAAAAATATGCATATAAATTACCAAATTGCTTGGTTGCTTTTTAACTCCATTCTTCTTTCCCTCACTTCTTTCTGCCCTAAGTGGGACCGAGGATAAGCAGTCAACCTTTGTAAAGCAATCAGAAAATGACAGAACAGCAACCTGCAAGTGTTATTGCTGTATGTCATGCTATAAAATACCAGAGGCTGCTCATTTTCTACTACACGTGCACTTTGCTTCACGCTGCACTGATAGTTGCTATTCAAACAGTCTGGGTGCAGATCACTTAGTGTTTCAACAGACACCAAAAATGACCAGAGGCTGCAGGGCATGGAGGATGAGTAAATCATGTTGCTTTGCTACCTTACTCCTTTTCCTCTTTCCTGGCCAACTTGAGGGCAATAAGGCACACCTCCAAGGGGGCAGAAGTTCTGCTTGTGTCCATGTAGGCAGTTTCTAGCTCACCAGATGGGATTTTTCCACTGTTTCTAAGCCCATCAGGTGACCGTGGGTTTCATCATACTTGGCTTTTTCTCCCAAAGCCACAGCCTTGGCAGTCAGTTAATTAAAAATAAAAAAATCCCAGTTTTCATGGCAAACATGATCTGAAGGTCATCAGGCCTGCTCCCTAACCTCAAGGCCTGTATCACCCCTACTCTCTGTCTAAGCTGTCCCTTTGAGGATGGCAACTCCCAGGCCACCTATTTCAGTGCTTAGCTAACTGGCAGCAAGTCCTATCCACCATGGGGATGGTCCCTTTGCAGCCGTCCTCAAAGGATTTTACACTTCAGCCTCCACGTCAACCAACCCCAGCTCCTTCAGGTTCCTCAGAGATGAGGTCTTCATCATTTTTGTCACTCTTCTTTGGAGTGTCTCCACACGGTGCGCCTCTTCCTTCAACTGGCATATCCGAAGTTAAGCACAAGTATTTCAGCTGAACTTTGCTATCTGACATAATTTCAAAGATTTATATTATTTTATGGATGATACATTCCCGAATGTTTGCCTTTTTCATAATGGTGCAACATGTTAAAAGAAAGTATAGGCATCTGACATTAACGTGTACAAATACCACAGAACACCACATAAAAAGGCTCATACAAGGAATTGGCATTGTCATAAAAACTCTGTATTTGAAAAAAATTTTTGGAGGGAAGGAAGCAACATTTCATATTTCTTTGAGGCAAATGTGGCTGTGCTTGTCACACTACAGTTATAGCCTTTATCATCTGAGAAACAATACCACTCTAAATAGTTAAAACAGAAACAGTAATAAAAAGCCCTGATGAATCTCTACTGTTTAACCCTACATTTCATCCCTCTTGGCATGGCTCTTCCATGCTTGGTTCCAATCATCGACTCTCTCTGGCTCTCAGGCACAATCCTACTTCTACAAAGACGTTTACAGAAATTTCTGGGACAGACTTTATTTTAAAAAAAAGTATTTAGGGACATAGTTTTCACAGTATTTGCTTCTCTAGAACTTTTATTTATTTTTAACAAACCCACAGTGTGTGGGCTGAAAGTACTTCAGAAAACATTTTCAGCAAGGACTCACATTTATTCATCAGTACGGTAGTCAATTAGAAAAAGAAAAAAGGCCACTTCTTTGTAAATAGCCTTTTTTTTCCCCTGAGAATGTTTGATCTTACTGGAATAGTTACATTAGAAAGAAAACGTTAACAGAAACCAAACAGCCAACACCTTCTTTTATTTAAAGAGTTAAAAATCAAACCACTTAATGCACTCGCTGTGGGAAAGTGAGCTGGTCCAGAAGACTGCTGCAGTTGGAGGTTTTTCTGGCAGTCTCAGGAACTGCAAGGCTGTCGACCCAGGCCCGCAGGATTAGACAGGGCTGGGAAACAACCTCCACACACACCATGGGGCTGTCCCTGCTGCGACTCGAGCTTTCGCAGCCTCTGATGGGCGCACCGTGCTGCCGCATCTTGGACGCTGTGGAGGCTTGAAAGAGGAGAACCCCACCATTAACCGCTCAGGTAGACAGCGATAAGGGAGAGCGTGTTACTTGTTTACTTGGCTCTGAAAGCACAATAGATTAAGGATAAAAATCAACTGACATGTATAGTATGTTATCAGGCAGGCACACTAAGCATCGCCCGCTCCCCCAGATTGCTTAATCCTAGAGCTCACGCTTCCACTCCTTAAGCAGCACCACACAACTTTGCTTTGTTAGATTGCACATAATCCTCTCCCCTCTCAATGCCTTCTTAATAAACACTTTGGGCACCACCGGGATAATGCAATACAAACACCTAAATCCATAAGAAAGCCAGGACTCTGTGGGTCTCACACAAACGGGGCCACTTTCTGTGTGTCCTGCCCAGCCCTCGCCTCTCCACCTCTGCAAACAGAAGGGAAGGGAAACACAAAAGCCTTGCAGACTTGTAGTGCAATGATGGGAGACATCGGGCAGCGTTGGGGCAGATTTTACCCTACACTGGGATCTCTTAAGTGCAAGCATCTTTATTAGGCCATTGATATAAACTGGTTTTGGACAAACTGATAAGCAAAAAGAAAGTTGCACTCTCCTTCACTCCCGCCAGTGGGAGACCCCTCCTAGGTCAGTATTGCTCTCTGGCAACAGGAGCAAAATGAAGAATCATGAAATTGTCTGTGTCTGGATTGGCAGTGTCTGCTTGAAGACTGATGTTCATCGTGCAGAGCAAACCCAGGCTGCTGCCCACCGTGATGCCCCAGTGCAGGGGGAGCAGCTCTGCTGGGTCCTGCCGCTTGTCACAACAAAGCAAACGGGCAAAATGGATTATCACAGCTACAGGAAAGACCATAACTCTGAGCAGAGGAGCACACTGGATGTCCAAAGGACTTTCTTCCCTCTAACTGCTTTTCTGGAGAAGAGAACCTCACAAAGAGATCGACTCGCACACCCAGCAGTGTTGACAAATGCTGGGTGTGGAGACAAGCAGAAGCATGACCTATCATGTGGCATAACTGGCTGCATCTCTTACTGTCTGCTCCTCTCCAAGAAGCAGCAAATGCTCCAGTTGTCAGAGATCTGTGACGGTGTCTTACACCCCTGTGCAGCTTGTCAAACCCAGAGCCCAAGCATGGGTGGAGAAGCAAGGCCTGTTCCGTTAAAACAGCATACTGGGATGTGCACATTTTATATACCAACAGATATTCATTGTCCAGTTTAACAATACAGGAAAGGCCATACATGGCTAGACAGAAGGTCCCTGTAATGCACTAGCTTATCTTCAAGAAGGACTAACAGCATACGGCTAGAGAGAGCACAGCGAGCCGTCCCACGCTCCAGCTTCCTGCAAGGTACAGAAACAGGAGCAACGTCTCCGCATTTCACAGATTTTTCTAATCACTTTCTGAACTCACATTGATTTTAAGCATTTGCAATCTCCTAGAAGCCCCATGGTCCCACAGCCTCACTACACTGTAAGTACAAAATTATCTGCCCATGTTTTGTTTTGACCCACAACTTGCTTGCTTCATTTGACACCCTTGAGTGTTTCAGTACAAAACCCAGTAAGGATTACTTTGCACTAACCTCACCTACCCCATGTTGCTCATTTTGCAGAGCTGTGGTTTCTCTTGCAGAGGAAGGAAGTTTGTTGTTTGCTCATTCCAGGTGTTACTCAAGGAGCTTTGATCATTCCTCACACCCTTCTCTGACCCCCATCTAGCTTACTACAGAACTGCTTAGCAGTGTTTAGGTGCAAAAAGGCTTTTCCCAACAGCTGCAACCCCTGGTACCTTCCCCTGCGGGACTGGTTTTGCAGTGCCAGGAGAGATGGTGTAAGCCGTGCCCAGCTGCATCTCTGCAGCCAGGAGGGAGAGAGTTAATGCCAGCCTTCGCATGGGGCACAGCTAACAGCTCTAGCAACCCCTTGGAGAGAGAAGAGCTCTTGATCACCTGCAGAAAAGCTAAGAGGGATACTAATAAAAGGAATAAACCGTCCCTTTATCAGCTGCTTGGACTATGCACCAGCAAAGAGCAGGGCCACTCGGGGAGAACAGCAGTCCCACATGTCTTGGAGCTGGCAGCCAAGGAAAGGTCAGATGCTGAGCGGGGACCCAGAGAGACTCCCGTTTCCACCAGCTGAGGCATAGAAATTTGTGATCTAACACCACCCCTTTTCACCTTCAGCAAAGCATCAAGCGGAAGAATGACATGCATTCCCCTAGCACCAACCCCACATCCGATCCCTAAAAGTGAAGGGGCAAATAAACACCAACCTTTTGCAGCAGAGCTCAACATCCTCTCACAGGGAGCACACCTGCAGTGGGGCACACCGAGTGAAAGCCTACAGCCTGAACAATGCTCGTTTCCTCATTCCTC